CACACTTACAGATTAATAGAAAATAAAAGATAACAAACAATAGGTACAGGTAGGACAGGCACCTAGTTTCTCTTAAATAAAGCACCTTTTTCTTATGATAAGAGGTATTCCCATATATATAACATCTCAAAAAATTATATCCAATTTTGGCTCTGCACTGTGAAAATGAGGTAGTCATTGACTCAATAAGTAAAATCATATTCTGCTTTGTCCTGTATTTAAAGGTATAACACCAACTATTTTATTTGTTATCTGTGCTACGTGCTCTATCGTATGTTCGATAAATTATGTTATGAATGTAAATTAATTACAAATGTATATCAATACAATTATAAAAAATATAATATATGGTTCGCTGTCTATTCAAAACAAAGATTTATCTACTCTAGCAACTGTGTCAACTGTCAATGCTCGACAGCTACCACAGATTATGTAGAAAGTAGGCAAGTGTGTTTTGCGTCTTCAATTATAAAGATAATAAATTACACTAGGTTGATTTAATAGGCAAGGCATCAAGTGCAAAATCGTTTATTGAATTTAATCGCATTGTGTGGGTAGATTAAGTCGTTGTGTAAAATCGATAATGCTAATTATTAGACTTGCAACGAATAGTATTTAGTATACCGAATACCGAATATTCGCAACCCCAGACCGAATAGTCGAATATTAGGCAAAAGTATTCGGCTGGATTTTTGCTCCAAAAACTTGTACAGACGTATTGTTTCGCGCTCCTTTGTTTTGTTCTAACGTACTCGTTATTATTAGTACCAATTACTATATAAGTATAATGTACCAATGACTACTTATATGATTATAACAGAAATAAAAATATGAATATATACGTAAGCAATCGATTTTAATTTTTCATTTTACCAATTATTTCTCTATGACAAAATATATTATTTAAGTATTCTTATTCGCTAATAAATTAATATTTATTCGACCTATAATAGCAGCCGAATAGGCCGAATACCGAATAGTAACGAATATTTTAGTTACTAATATATATTACAACTTGTACATGTATAATTTGTGTATTAACCATTCCGAAAATACTTCATGTTTGAGTTTCAATTCTAAATTTAAATATGGCTTTTAATATCTTGCGTTATGTCCATTAATTATATATGAATATTGACTTTGGCGGCCATCTTACCATGATAATTTGCTTTATTAAACAGTTTTGAGCTAAGGACTCATTTCTGTAAATAAAACTCAACGTCGCCTGATGTCGACATCGATTCATTTCCATCTATCCTTCCATTCCATTAATCAGCATTTCTCAATAGAATTTTCTCGTAAACCTAAGTCTATTTCCAGTTTGTACCAGATGCTTTATTCTTTTTAATTATTTTTTTATATCAGGTAATTCCTATTGTCTTTTGACACATAATGATCGAATTTCATAAGTGAACAAATTTAGTTATTGTATTTTTTAGTATTGTATAATGTGAATAAGGCATAAAACGTGCTTTGTTCTGCGTTTTTAGTATTTTAATATGTTAACTGCCAATCTAGTATACCATGACGCTTTTTATTCATTCTTTATTAGAATTCACGTCATTTATGGTAAATGTTTATTACTAATTGTGTGTAAACGTGTATTTCTGTAAGAATAAATAAATATGCTCTGATGGGTTTTTAGACATGCATACCCTCACTTAGTTCCATATCCGGAAACCTTTCCCAAAGACATTCCACACGATAAGATTAGCCTAAAATACACTTTCCGTCGACCTTCTTCCAGCCTTGCAACTCTATTCGGTGAACCACCTACACTTAACCGCTGTTTATCAATTATTACGGCAATCTTCTTGTTTGTGAAATGATATCATTTTTGCGCACTCACTTCATTGTTTCAAATTGCTTTAGTTTTATTCATATGATTCAGTACTGACTCAGCTGCCAATTCGACGGACTCGTCGGTCCAATGGTAGCAATGTATGGCTAATGATCAACGGGTCGTTGGTTCGATCCCCACCAGGTCCAACAGGTTTCTAATCTTCCTGAATCATGCTGGACGTCGTCTGGAAATTTGGATAATAAATGGGTGGGTAAGAATATAGATTTTCCGTCCGTGTCACGAACCACCGTCCACAGACGAAAAAGCCGTGAAGCTTAATCGTGTTTCGGTTTCAGTCTATGGATTTCCGAATATCCATAGTAAAAGTAGGTCGATAGCGCATCTTGTTAAGATGCTATAGGATCTACCATAAAGTATATACTATATATACCTCTTTGGTATATAATAAACTATATACCAAAGGGTTTAGAAATTATCTGGTATAGTACTACCATTACTTGTTAAATGTACAGTTTAAACTAAAAACGTTTCCTTACTTTCTTACCATAATTCCGTTTTACTACTTTACTTACTCAAGTCAAGTCAAAGTAAAATTTTATATATCGATGTAGGTAACTAGGTACACTTATGAACGTCACAAAACTAATCAAGGGCGTAGAACGAACGAGAAGAATTGGCAATATACTCGCCGTCGCTTTTATCGCAAAGTTATTATTTTTGCAAAAAAATACTTGCTGGCAATATTTAAATCTTTGAATGTAGAATCTAAAAGGTTCAAGAAAAATACCAACAGCCCACCCGCCACCAGTATAATAGGGCCCTTAATCTTTTTAGTAGCTGACAAGTCGTTGAATACTTTTATCGTAGGCGAACTAGTGTCGAAATGAAGCCAGTATGTGATAGTGACACGGCACACGGCCTAGTTATAAAAATATTTCATAACCAAACGAGCTTTTAAGGACCCATTGATGTCGCAATATTGATACTATTAATTGTGTATAACCATAACGTATGAATTAAATTCAGTTAGGGGTAGATATTAGTGCTTTGGACAGCAAACAAACAATACAAACTTGTTCCCAGGGCTTCTTCGGAAGCACTGTAGGAGATTGGTGGTATTTAGTGGTTCTGGTCCATTCGCGTCTGGTGGGGTCTGTACTACCAGCTCGAGTACAAGATTTACCTCACTCTCCTCGTCACAACTGCCCGATGTAGATCATCAGGTAATAAAAGGGCAGACATATTTTTGTGAATTAAAGATTTTAAAGACAATTGATATATGTATTCTCGATTTGTACTACTATTTATATGTTTCGTATTAAAGTCAGGACCTTTATATTGTTATGAAAGTTACTTGTGAAATTAACTAAGTTTAAGTAATAGTAATTTAGCTAATAACGCTTGACTATGATTCTTGTATAAAACTAAGGTACTTAGTACAATACATTCGTTCTATAGAAAACATTCTGTCAGTGAAAGCAGGTTCGATTCCGTTTCGTATTGTTAATTTTTATGGCATCTATTGGAAAGTATGATTATTATTGAATAACATGTAACTGGAATTATTCGGTTACGTTTATAGAGCGTGAATACTCTGTTATTAGTGCTTTATAGTGTATGAACACAAAATGGATGTGTAAGATATACCAGTCGGCTTATTTCTAGTCTAACATCGGGTTGTATTTCGCGTTTTGAACTTTTGAAAACTTTTTATTAATGTCGAAAAAATAAATAGTAAATTAAATTGTGGTTGATTATAAAACGATAAGTATTAAAAAAATGCTTTACTTAACGATAAATAACGGACACTTTAAGAAATAAATGTTGTTAAGAATAATTCTGCACCATTATTGTATCTATATCTGATTTGTCCACTGGAAGATGTAAAGTAAGTATATTTTTTTTTGTTTCGATATATAAGTATGAAAATGGCGCAGAAAAAGGAAAACAAAAATATTGACATAGTATTTTTTAAATAAGTTTAACTAATATATCGCGTTTTAAGCCGTTAAAGTGTTTTATTTTAATGTGTACTACTCGCGTACTATAGACAGTATATAGTATTTTTGTTCATCGAAATGAATGATCAACAATGAAATTCGATAAAAAATAATTAATTCACCGCGCTAAGTCGTTTTGTAAAAAACGTCTTGGCTAAGGACACGTTTCTGTGGGAACGAAACGTTAGTAAATAGACTAGTTATTCAGTAAACACCTATTAACAAGAAGATCCATTGAAATTCTATGCATTTTCTATAATTAAGTAATTGTCATGTTCCATTTAGGGGCATAGGGCCCCTGGTTTTCACATCCTATTACTCCGATGTTTTTTTTTTCTCATGAAATTCGAGTGTAATACTTTTTATATAGTTAAGATATTGTTATTATGACAATAAACAAAGCATGGCGTACACTTAATGTTAAGTTAGATATCTAAAATTGCTCTGTCGACTCTGTGCTAAATAAGCTTTTGACATACCGAAATCCACAGATTGCAGCCGATTCAGTGCAGCAGAAATTTGTGGGAATCGACCCGTCAATTATTGGTGCTTGCAAGTAATTTAATCTATACTTAACGTTAGATTACTTGAAAAAATACGTAAGCTAATCACGTACTGTGATTCAAGGCGGAAAGTCTGGCTGTCTAAACAAACTTTTACGCCAGTTAAATATCCTTTATATGTAGTTTAGATATATAGTAGTTTAGATTATTACACATTAACATTTAAGAACGATCTTTACTTACAAACAAACAAACAAAAAATACTTTATTTTCACCACAATGTTACAAAATAAACTTAATTAAAATTTAACAAAAAGTAGCGAGAAAAGGCGGCCTTATCGCTAAAAAGCGATTTCTTCCAGGCAACCTTGAAAATGGAGATTTACAATAATACATGATAATAATAAGGGTAACACTACAGCTATAATAAGTTTATACAATACAGCTATAATAAGTTTATACAATACTAAGTAGGTTTTTAAAGTTTGACTTAATAATTAAAATAATTTACCCAATCAAATGACTGTGTAAACTATGCACATAAGTGAGTATCAACCATTGCCATTTAAGCGTAGCAGCATGTTTCACCGGGAAGACAATTTAGAGAGGTTAAATATAAATATATATATATATATATATATATATATTATATATATATATATATATTATAAAATATATTACTAAAAAATATAATTAATCCTGAAGGAAAAGGTTTTTTAACTTGTATTTAAAGCTTGATAGTGACTGCGCTTTTCTAATCATAATAGGTAGGGAATTCCAGAGTCTAACAGCATGAACTGAAAAAGAGTTAGAATACGTTTTCGTAGTATGTAGAGGCATAAAGAGAAGAAGATTATCAATTGATCTCAAATCAAGTTCGTGAGAAGCACCTAGGAAGATAAATCGTTTTTTAAGGTAAGAAGGAGTGGTGTGATCAAAAAGGATTCGGTAGAGTAGACAGAGAACGTGCATATCACGCCTCTTTCGTATTGTCAACCAATTGAGTTTTTTACGGTATTCAGAGACATGATCATATTTTCTCAGTCCAAAGATAAAACGAATAGCATAATTTTGCATACGTTCCAATTTATTTAGTTGTTCTTCAGTGATGTCAAGGTAACATATATCTGCATAATCTAGGATTGATATAAGAAGTGACTGCGCTAGCACTTGCTTCGTTGGTACTGGTAGGAAATTGGAAAGTCTGCGAAGAGATGAACCAGCAGCAAACACTTTCTTACGTACTTCCTCAATCTGTTTTGTCCAAGACAATGTCTGGTCTATATAGATACCTAGGTTTTTCGCACAACTACTGTATGTGAGAGGAACTCCATCAACGCATACTGACTGCAAGTTTGTCCAATCAATCCGCGATAGCATACTCGGTGTGCCAAATATAAGAACTTGCGTTTTTGTTGGATTTAGATGCAGGCCATATGATTTGCTCCATTGCATAATTAGCGCGAGATCAGAATTAATGGTATCAATTGAGTTATTTAAATTATTGATATCAGTTTGAGCATAAATTTGGAGGTCATCGGCATAAACATGATATGAAGAGGAGAGGTTTGCAGTGATAGTCTTGATGAAGAGGGAAAAAAGAAGAGGAGATAACACCCCCCCCCTGAGGAACGCCAGCTGGAACAGTACACCAAGAAGATATCTTATCATCTACTCGTATGCATTGCTGGCGATCAGATAAGTAGTCTTTGAACCAGTTAGCGACCGAGGGAGATATATTAAGGTTGTTGAGAAGAGCTAAAAGAATGTCGTGGTCCACTGTATTGAAGGCATTGCTAAAATCAAGCATAGCTGAGATAGTATAGGTCCTGTTATCAAATCCCCAACGAATGTCGTCTGTTACCTTCACTAGAGCACTGACCGTGCTATGACCGGTACGAAAGCCAGATTGGTAAGGATCAAGCAATGAATTAGAAATAAGGAATTGGTTGACTTGATGATGTACCAATTTTTCAAGAATTTTAGATAGAAAAGGAAGAATGGATATAGGACGGAAATCGGGAAAGCTTTGCGGGTTGCGTTTTTTTGGGATTGGCAATATATAAGCTTTCTTCCATAAGTGGGGAAATGAGCCGGATTCTAGAGAAAAATTGAAGATGTGAGTAATGATAGGGCATATGATATCAAGGATAGGGATTATCATAGCACGGCCAATTCCATCACACCCTAAGGCATTAGAGGAGACGGACATTATGCTTTCTTTGACGACATTCTCAGTCACCGGCGTAAAATTAAATGTTTGATGATTTGTATTGGTCAAATGAGATAAGAAGTTTAATGTTTTAGTTTTATCTAAAAGATTTAGGCCTGAAGTGGCAGAGGAAAAGTGCTGATTTAATTGGGTTAAGCTAATACTACTTGGGATAGGGGAAAGAAGTTGTTTTTTGCCGAAACCTAAGGACTTCAAGAATTTCCATGTTTTAGCAGTATTGCCACCCTCTACTGACTTGTGGATATATTGCCTTTGAGCGTCTCTGCATAACGTGTTGCATCGGTTTCGTACATTTCTGTATTTCTCACGATGATAGTCACTGTTGCTCTTCTTCAGCTTGGCCTTAGCAGCAGTTTTCTTGCGCATAAGTTCTTTTAGATCATTAGTCAGCCACGGCGCAGGTGTGTGCTTGATCTTTACCAATTTAAGTGGAGCATGTTTATCGAAAAGTCTTGTTAAAATTGAATTAAGAGCACTGATTTTGACATCAACTGTATCTGCGTATAAAACTGAAGACCAATCAATATTTTGTGTATCATCGGCTAGCACTTGTAGATCCATTTTGGCAAAATTTCGCTGCAGCAATGTCTTCCGCTTTATTTTAGGAGGGCGGATAAGGTACGAAATGAAAAGAAGATTATGATAAGAAAAAGCTTCAGCTCCCAATTGACCAAATTTGGAGACATGAGAAAGAGAAGAAACAAAAGCAAGGTCAAGAAGAGATGGCGAGCACCCAGGAAAGAAGTGTGTAGCTTGGAAAGGTATGACATTCAGGTTACAAGCGTTGATCAAGGATTTTAGTTTGTTAGCCCTAGAGTCATTTTTTAGGAGACATGTATTGAAGTCACCCATTACAATGACATGTTGATATAAAGGGCACAACCTTTCCAGGAGATTTTCAAAGGTATTAAAATAATTAATTTGTAAAGATGGACTGTAACCTACACCGAGGAGAATCTTAGAATTAGAAAGTAATATCTCTATAAATAGGTGTTCTATAGTGTCTGCCCGGACTGGAACGGGAGATGTGCTTACTATATTAAATGGTATATTGGAGCGCAGATAAATGGCCACACCGCCACCAACACGTTCTACTCGATCATGTCTTATAAGATTAAAGCCTGGTAAAAGATAGGAAGTATTCGACAATGTTGGCTTAAGCCAAGTCTCCGAAATAAGAATGGCATGTATGTGATCTGAATTAAAAGATATCAATAAGTCATTGTAATGAGCCGGTAGACTCTGGGCATTTATGTGAACCAAATTAAAGTTCTTAGGAAAGTCTGACAAGGTAGCATGAAGTGCCTCATCGAGTGGAATAAACGGGTCAGGAACACTGCTACTACTGCTGCCTGAACTGAGATGGCTTGAGTCAACTAATGGAAGTGACTCCTCACTTGAGTTACTACTGTGCATAAAATATATGAACTAAAATACTTTAATAAACTAAGTGAAATTTAAAATGAATTTTACTCTAATAGCTTACAACAAAAACAAAAATACTTTTTTTAAACAAATGTAGTATGTACCAAAACTTGCTAGCACTCTATGTATAAGTTGTAACATCCCAACAAATTTTTAATTTATTTCACGCAAGCTTAATCTGTAACACAGTAAATAGTCTGTATAAAACGTCGCGATTTAAAAACGCTGGACACTGACACTGTACAATCTGTATCATTATACTTAATTGACATTACAAGATTTGATATTTTGACAGATTTTGTTTAAAATAACAACAATAATATTAATGTTGTAATGAACGTAAAAGCAAAGTTATTTCTATTGAGTTTACTATCATATAAGTTCTAAAATAAAACTATATGTGGACACCTATTGTGTATGAACCATCAGTATGAGTATTTCAACTTCTATGGTATGGAGCCTGCACATTGAAGAAACATAATATACAAATTATTCATTGGAATTATATGTTGAATATACTAATAAAGTTGTATATACAAAGATCAGAGTTTTAGGGCCCACAGATAAACCATACTAGTGAAATACAAAATGGTAATTGTAACTTTTAGAGAAATACAAATGAGCTATTCTATATTGGATTAAGTAATGTCACTTATTATTTGGTTTTCGGGTGTTTTTTAGATCTCGTTTCATATTTACTTGATGAAGCGGCTTGATTCTTTGAAGACTCTATTAAATCCTTGAGATCAGCCTCTGTTTCCACCCGTACACGCGAACCACCAGGAGTGATAATCCTAATAGAACCACCGCTAGTCCAGCATTTGGAAATTCCGAATTGCTCCCTGGCAGCCAAGAATAGGTCACGACGTGACTTGATAAGAAATTCAGACATTGTTATGTCTGATCCTTTAAGAGATGTTTTCTTAAACCACACTCTATCCCTGAGCGCTACATCAATGAATTTAATGACAATGGGCCTTGGCTTATTATTCTTTGCTGTGCTACCCATTCTATGGCATCGATTAAGTGCATCTTTTGAAGCATCAGGCACTAGTAGTGTTTCCGTTAATATTTTTGAGACTACCTGCGGCACATCTTCATTGTTAGATTCAGGCACTCCATGGAGAAGTAACATTTTACGCCTTCTGCGCATATTATTAGTTAATACTTAGTTACAAAAATATAGTTAATGTCCAAGGTGTTGACGAAGTTATTTCTTTTTAATCGATTAATATTTTAAAAATCTATTCACATGTTAACTTAACTTAATTAGATAGAAAATTTAAACAAGAAGGGATTTACAAGTACATTCTTTACAATTTCAACTTTGTTTTGCTATCTTTAGTTGTATATTGTCTTAAACGCACCACACGTACAGATCTGTGACTGCATTAAAAATACCTTAAAACCAAACTAGGAGTACTTACTTATTTGGTGCAATCAAAATTTTGGAAAATGTGTTTGGATTTTTGGAGTCCTTTATATTTATAATCTATCATTAAATAGTGAATACAACTCACTCATCTGAATGTTTTTGTTGAAAAACCGGTTAAAAACATAACAATGGATATAATTTATGGACTTGTTAAAGAGGGTATTAGTGATGCGCCGAGTAACACTTTTGCCGAGTAACGAGTTTTTAGTTTTACTCGGCTCAATTTGTTTTCAACCGAGTACTCGGCCGAGTAACTCGGTTTAATCAAAATCCCCATTTCGTGCACGTAAACAATTACACTCATGTTCGCGCCGGTCAAGACGTCGGCTCGCTCCCATCTTTTCTTAATTTTGTCTCGTTACTCCTCAATTATTAGCACAGTTTTAATCTTAAATGCATTAATTGAGATTTTCAAAGATTGTATAAATGTCTTTTGGATTAACACAGTTGTTTTAATTACATTTACCTAAAAGAGAGTTATTCGGCCGAGTACGCCGAGTACCGAGTATCAACCGAGTACTCGGCCCATCACTACAACGTATGCTATGCTATGTAAAGACGAGTAATAAAAGTTGAATGAATAAGATGATACGTCTTCGAACTCGTCTGCCTGAGATGGCTTCAAGGACGTTCAAAACCTGTTCGTGGCCTTGACTCACTTGATGCAATCAAGTTTATATTTTTATGGAATACTAGCTGTGCCCGCTACTCCGTCCGTTTAGAATAGTTATTTTTTGTTTTGCAGACACCTCCTGAGCTTTATAAATTATAACTGTTACACATGATTATACCCTCCTTGAAGTTAATCTTAATAGACATACCAAACAAAATAAATTTTCATTCCATTTTTTGAGATTACGATTAACTCTTAGGTTTTAATATTATATAATTTTTTAGATTTTACTGAGATAAAAAATTTACTACCCTTTTGTTTAATAGTTTAAAGTACAATATATCAATATATACTCTTTGTCTAATTATATTTATGAATCTCAAACTAAAAATTATTTCAGACACAAATTCTCATAAAATACTTTATTAAAACAATTATAAAAAAATGATTTTATTTAATATTATTTTTTATATTAATTAATTATAAATAATTTTTATTATATTAAAATTAAAAAAAAACTTCTATAATATAATTATTATTTATTTTACACACTATCTTTATTAAATTTTTAATATTTAAAAAAATTTATAATTAAAAATAAATTAAAATTTTATTTAATACTAGAAATAAAATAATTAGGTATAAAATAATAATATTTAAGTTTTAATTTATTTTTAATATAATATTTTGAATATATTATTACCTACATCAATAAATCTTATATTTTTTCCTTATAATAAAAAATTTTGAACGTTTTAAAATAAAATAAAATAATAAAAAAAAAAATTATATATTATAAATAATACCCAATAAATTTTTATAAAAATATTTTTTATAAAAAACTTAAAACTTAATATATAAAAAATAAAATAATTATTATATATACAGGATATGATTTAGATATTACACTTTAGTACCTACATACAGATCTTAACATATGGTTTTATTCCATTACTCGTAATGGAGCTGAGCAAAAACCATCAAATTATTCTTCAAGATTTCGTATCGGCACTTTTTGTGTGCCATATTCAAGTGAACATTGATCATGGCAAAAACGCGTCAATTATTTGCTGCTATAGAATATAGATAGTTCTATGTACATACTTATTATATTTATATATGTATTATTATGTTAAAAACTATATGTATGTAAGGAAGAAGAAAGTACCAAACTTGTTTGAATCCGACGTTTCGGATGCAACAGCGGTGGTCACGGGGAGACTGGCAATATATATCGCGTTTTAAACCGTTAAAGTGTTTTATGTAGATGTGTACTACTCGCGTAAGCTACAGACAGTATTTACAGTTCCAAATTCAATTTTTTTGACAACTACTACCATTAAGTTAATATGTAAAATTATAAATTTATGTTTATGTATAAATTAGAAGTAAATATTATTAGTACCAATGCCGGGCCACGTAAATTAATTAATGATGTCATACAATATCGTTTTTCACTGGTAAAACCAAGAAACGAGATAAAAGTGAATGCAAACAAATTAAACCTTTAGCAAACTGAAGGTACGAGGCTACACGTCCTTATTTAAACCTATGAAATAGACAAGGTTAGTGTGCTTTGTACCTGATATCGAAAGTGAATATTAAATCTCTATTTTTTTTCTCAATTAGGTACGTCATTTCACTAAAATGACATGACGGAACAAAAATACGACCCCGTAGCTAATTGGTTAGAGCAACAGCACGGAATGCTATGGATGCAGTTTCAAGACATCGAATCGAATGGATCTATTTTTTTAATGCCATCATGTGCAAAATATTTTTGAAAAAAAAAAAAAACCTGTGTAACCTTACCTAACACACTCGCTCATTGTACGTTGACTCCAAACATGAATTCGGACTTACATCATTTGAAGCTGTGTTGATGTTGATTATCATTATTATTTACTAGCTCTGTTAGCGACTTAAAATAGATATTTTGGGCATCTAAATATTTTTTTGCAAACCGTCTTCAAAGTCACGATGTCAGCAGCATCCCGTTGTTCTTGCGAGTTAATCTTAAAACAAAGTTTTTTTTTACCATATATAACCTAATACTAATTTACCCCGTTTCTCTTAACATTTCCCATTTTTTCTTCGCTACTATCAGACATAGCGCGGTGTGTTATAACCTAAGGTTTTCCTCAATAAAAGGTCCAAAATAACAAAAAATATTTTTTCGTTTCGATCGAGCAGTTCCTGAGAGTTCCTGAGTTTCGCGTTTCAAGCAAACAATCTCTTCAGCTTTATAATAGTGGTACAGATAAAAGTATGTTAACCGTTGTTTCTTTTTCAACAGATCAAATTGGAGTCAGTCCTCGGTTTGACGGTGAGCAGCAATGCAGCACTCGACTGTGATCCCAACTCCGAGTTCGTCGCATATCCAGCAGGGTGAGTCTTGATGACCAGAATACAATTTTTAACTTTGACAAGTAGTAGACGGTTTTAACAACTTCGTGTTTTAAACCATTATAAGGGGTTTTTCTAAGAGTATTAGACGATAGATCCTAGTAGTGTTTGTTCTCGTTTCTACAGCAGCCCAGCGTTATGTGAAGCCACAATTATAACAGCGCACACATAAAACGTGGTTCACTTAGTGGAAAGTGAAATGAGCCAGAAACATAAACCTAAACACGATGCGTTGTCGACCTATTTTGTCTAAACATTTAGAATCCAGAAGCATTTGCCTACCATTGTCTCAATCCCTTCGTCAACAACATTTGGCCACTCAGTTACCTACTTTGTCAAGTCATCATAGATCTTGATTTGTTAATATCTTTCTGGTACAGGGTCAAAACGAGCTCGTTGTTCCATTGGTAGCAATGAATGGCCAATAATCAGCGGTAGTGGGTTCGGTCCCAATTGGATTCAACATATTTGTAATCAGTTTGTAATTTCTAAAACATGTTGGATTTCGTCTCGACATCTGTATATAAAATGGCTCATAGAAATATCCTGTCTGTAGGCTAGTAGTACATTTACTGCAACCGGTAGTAAATGTAAAGTTAGATTCTTTAATTATCTTGTGACGTTCATAAGTGTACATAGGTTACCTACATGAATAAATGATTTTTGACTTCGACTTTAAATGAAAGACTTCAACGGTTTAAGACGCGATGCATTTAAGGTGGCTGCTGCAAAGCATCCGAAACGTCGGGCCGTAGTGTAAAATAATTTTCAAACAAGTTTTGCTAAAATATATCGCGTTTTAAACCGTTGAAGTGTTTTATTTAAATCATAGAAATATGTAAAATCCGGCCACAGATGAAAAAGCTTAGTCGCGTTTCCGTTTCAGTCTGTGGATTTCCGAATATCCAAAGCCAAATCTTTACTTCTAGTTTACCTTGTACACAAGCGATATATAGATGAAATAATTAAATAAGATTGTTTTATATAACATCTATATTGTATATGCGTGCAGTAGCCATAAATAATCCCGACAAATAAAACCGCATTGCAGTATAGATGATTGGATTAAAATAATTTGAGTGGATCAGTCGGGTTGCATTTCAATCTCGCTCAAGGTCCCGACTTATGACCCAGTGACCTGGGCTTCCACATCAGATACCTGCCGCCCGAAACTGGGTTGTTAAAGCAATTTTGATCGCTTCACTTAAACTTTGGTATGTTCACTTCGATTAGTCAACCTCTAATCTACATGTTCATTTTCACTGTAGGTTCAGCAAAGGAAACAACCCTTTACTTCAATAGTTCTTTCCCCCTTTTAAAGGTTCTGTGATAATAAGTGAGGAGGGGGACTTGTGTTAGTCAAAGACACTCCCATAGAAAAAAAGGTAACGTAAAAATGCTGTCAAACAAAATAACAGTGACAGGTTACCGATAACGACAATAATTGCGATAGGTGTTGAATACTTTACTTACTAATGATTCTCACTTAAGTCACTGTTTTAACAATATCAATTGTTGTATGAGCGCTGTCTAACAGACGAACTGTTTTGCTGAGAATCAGTATTGTAGCATAACTCTGCCGAAACTTATGTTGACGCAAGACCTTTCTTCAAATGAATTATGTCTTTTTATATTTATAATTTAATTATTTAGTTAGTCAATTCCGTAACGACCCGGCCAGTTTCGCCATATACCAACGTCGACGAAACGGATAGCGCTAGCGTAGCGATTTCCCCCAAACCAAACAAACAAATTTGTAATGTTTATCCTTTACAGTATTAAATAAGTACTCGTACGATATTAGTATTTGATAGCACATTCACGCCATCTCGTGATAAGTTTTCGTAATACAAAGTGACGCAACAAAACCATGTCTGTCTCTCATTTCCGTCGCCATATTTATATGTTGATGCACTTGAACTTGTCTGAGTTGCAGCTAATTATTCTTGGCACGTACACATATACCTACTATATGTATATGATGTAGGCAAACGCTAATACAGCATATAAATGTATTATTAACAATTATATTATTTTACTTGTTTATTTATTTTTTATTTACATGAAGTTGCATAAAATGAAAACCATGCATTTATGCCACTTGCTAGCAAGTTAATTTATTTAAGATTCTTTAGTTTAATAAAATCTGAATTAATTATTTTTGACTTAGAAATAACTAAATGTTGCGCCTTGCGACTGACATGAAATGTTAGGGATGGAAGGCGAAATACCTCAGCCATATAACATCACAATAAGATGCGCCGTTGACCTTTTATTGGTTTGGATCTTTGGAAAACTACAGGTGCAACGGATGCGATTAAACTTCACGGCTTTTTCATCTGCGGACGGTGGTTCGTGACCTGGACGGTTTTTCATTAGTGTAATATTCAATTTGATAACTGTCTGTGCTTTGTACAAATCAAACAGTGTTAATGTAATTAAAAAGTCCCTTTTTAGGGAGGAATTTCTGTAAACGGTCGCGCCCAAAAGGTGTGTTTTGGGTGTGTCAATCAATAATATCTTTTTTTTTCCAGTTGTATGCAGGGGAAAATATTTGAAATTTAATGACACAGAGTGTGTCCTTATTTAAAGGTTATGCAAATGGGTGTCACTTTCTTATATTTTATTTAAAACAATTCATATTATATTCAATTATTTTTTACTATCAATTCAATTATTAAATCATAAATATTAGTAATTAGCTGTGCCAGCGATTTCGTCCGCGTGAATCGTTATTTTGTTATCCACGACGTCGGTCACTTTCCTTCCCATCGTTCTTGCAAGTTAATCTTAAAAGAGAGACATAGCGTCGCGGACTTTTTTTAGATTATTTAAAGAGGAATCACTTTTTTCACACGGTTCTTGCAACGTGCGTCTCGGAAACCCATAACGATGAATAATGTTCCCAATTTTTTTTACATTTCTCGCTGTATCTTCGCTCCTATTACACATATTCAGAGGACGATGTTTTTATAGCCTTCATCGAGAAATGTTCTAGCCAACACAGAAATAATTTTTCAATTCGAACCCGTAGTTCCTGAGATTAGCGCGTTCAAACAAACAAACTCAGCTTTATAAATTAGTATAGATTTCTCACTAAACGTTCATCCTGATTTATAGTAAATCATTCTTCTTGAAATAGATTGAAATAAATATGAGACGGGCGGCACTTAAACCACCATATTAGACCAGCAGCAACGAACGCCGATTCGATGCCGCCCGTGTCGTCATTTTTTTATTCAAATTAATAAAACCTGTACTGGACCAGAAATCGAATCCCAGTCTCTTAGTCAAAGAAGATGCCCATTAAAATTACAATATAATTTTACTAACACTACTTTTTGTTTCTGAGAATTACCGCAATAATTTCACTTAACTATGCCAGACGCTTGCGGTCAAAACTATAATAGTGAAATGATAATAACGCTCATGGCAAAATTGGTTCCGCATAATTATATTTAAAACTGATGTTAAATAATTGTTATAGTATTGATGTTTTACATGTAAACAGTAAAATAGACACTGTCTATAGTTTAGGCGAGTAGTACACTTTTAAATTATATAAAGTGTTTAAAACGCGATATATTATTTAAACTTATTAGAAATTTATTTGGAACTTCGCCCCGACGTTTCGGATGCTTTGCAGCAGCCATGGTCACGGGGATACTAACCGACTGGATAAAATAGATGCAAAACAGCGAGTAGTTTACTTCTATCAGATGTTACTAGATCAAAACTTAAATTAACAATTAGTATAGTAGTCTTTTGTATCTTACTAGTAAAGCACAAATGGTTCCAAATTTAAATTCCCGAAAAACAATAAGTTATTTCGGTTGAGCAGGGCACAAATAAAGTTGATAAGTGAAACAGAAGCAAAACATTCGGTTGCCCCATGCCCCACAGGGAGGGGTGAAGAGAGTGGGGGTTGTTTTTTAGATGGGTGTTAGGATGGATGTTTTTTAACCAAAATATTCTCCCTGTTCCTATATTATTTAAAGGTTTTTAATATTTTGCATTATATCTTCAAAGTATATAGAAGATAAACTATTTTAGGAGACCAAGGGACGTCCCTAAGGGTTCTAAATGAACCAATGGAACTCTAAAACAATGTCGCGACAGGTCAACGAACTCGCTACGGCCGGTAACTTCCGCGATCCCGTTGACTCACGGTGTTGCCATTTTATTAATATTTTTCCGATCGCAAGTGCGAGCTGCAACATCTCTTTCAACTTTTAATTTCCTGTTTCTCAATTGAACTAACTCTGCTAGTATAGCAGACCAATCCATCAATAGTAGACGTCTCATATAATAATTTTGATTGAAAATTGGGCGTTCAAACTCTCGCATTAAAACAATATTTCGATATGATTAAGTAATTTAATTATTTTTAATTATTTATGTTTGTAAGTTATTCAAAATATATTTTTATACTTAAGAAAATGGCCCCGAAAACCTTATAAAATTTATAGGATTCTGTGAAACAATTATTATTTTGCCACAGATGAAAAGTCCGTAAACCATAACCGCCTTTTGGTTTCAGTCTGTGGATTTCCGAATTTCCAAAGCAAAATTTAGGGATAATTCATATTCTATCAAGTGAATGACTTGCTTGTCTATCCTCCTCTGTCTAAAAATAATTTAAGCCTAAAAAAGGTTCAACACATTACTATATAGTAGAGAATGTTATAAATTGTAATGGTCAACTTCAAACGCCATAACTACGTTAACGCTATGCGTGTAGAATATTTTATGACGATGTCACGCCTGAATTTTAACCATGGCGTTATGTGGTTACTTACTGGACACGCCTCGTGGTACAGTGATGAGCGGAGCGATTTTTAATGTCGCTTATTGCAACCAAATTTTTTAGAGCTGTGAATAAAGAATATGTTATACAATGCTTTACGCAAATGTATGGCTTTTAGACAACGTATCGTGGGTTTGATTGTCAAGCATATTTGTATTATATAGTAGTAAGAGTGTTAAGAACACGTTCGGGCCTGGACCTTCCTTTGAGTGATAAAAATTTGTGAAGTGAAAATACTCGTTTCGGTTACAGTCCTTATATGCGGATATCTGAATGTCCTAAGTCAAAATAGGTCGACAGCGTATCTTGTTGAGATGTAAAATGGCTGAGGTAAATGTTAACCAAGTAAACTCCCCATACTTCTTTCATAAAAAAGCCCCAACTTAAAGAAGATATCGTTGCAACAGACTAGACGCTATGAATGTTATATGTCTGTTACAACATTTTCTCATCACCTAATCAGCAATCCCCACATTAGAATAGACGTAATGATAGGTGAAAATTAATCGTTATAAGCTGCAACTAAAACGCTCCGTTCATTAATGTGTTAGCACCCTATGAAAAACACCTTATTCGTATGTATGACAGTTTGGTACGTCCTTTCTCACGGCCGCATGCCATCGCCAACATTTGTTTAACTGTTGTCTTGTATGTGATAATTATTTAGCGTCGATAAGTAGCTCAATAAAAAGCAAGATTTGTTCTTGCTTTTCATTACTAAGTGACACTTTCTTTATTTTTGTCTTGATTTCTTTAATTAAGTGAACTAGTACAGTTACTAAGGGATCTTTATTTTTTTTTTGGGGACCTCCCAACAAAAATAGTATTTTCTTGAAAACAAATATTTATGGGGATATAATTAAAAGGAAGTCAATGGAAGCTCAGTATTGTTATTATAGAGTTAAAGTAATAAAATATATTGGTTTATTAGAGAACTGTATTTACCTCTTTTTGACTAATTATAATGTTAGAAGAATGGTAACTATGGCAACGACTTATGATCTTAAGAACATTGAGTGGTATACAGTAGTGAGTATTTATAACAGGTAGAATGGAAATGCTCTGATCCATTTATTCCCAAACTAGTATTTTATTGGAACCAACTCCGGAAGGAAATTGTCACTGCTTTTTCACTAATATATTCAAAATCCTTTTGGACTTATTTTCCAAGAAAAATTCCAGTGATAAACCAATACATAAATCCGAATCAAATCTCTGGTTGCTTTATGTAATGCGATCCAAGGATTGTTCAAACGAGAGGCCCTAGGTTCGAATTCCGAGTAAACATAGATAAGATTAGTGGGGAAGATCACATAAGATATGACATCCATTTTATAATTACAAACGCACTGCTTTTGGATTATACGTTTAGTTAATGTAAGCCATATATTCTCAATTTCAGATGCACAGTGGTCCTCTACAACGTCAGAAAGAACCGGCAGACGCACGTACTGAATCTCTCTCGCAAAAGTGTGACCTGCGTCTCGTTCTCGCACGATGGACGGTACCTGGCGACGGGGGAATGCGGACATGCGCCGGCGGTGCGAGTTTGGGATCTACAGGTAACTAACGCCATCTAGCGGCGAGTAGTGTTTTATAACTATTTCTAATTCAAATTAATTAAAACTTTAGGCTATTTAGGTCTTCTTTTTGTCATTTGTTCGTATCTCACTCTTTAAAATAAAATAAATAACGCTATATGTAAGATCGATCATTAATATTTTGTAATGCATTGTTTGTAATTTATATTATGTACTTAATAAGAGTGTCTGAGTGTTAGAGGTCTGGAATGTTGTCATATTTTCAAATAGTAAGAACACGATCACGGATCGCCGTTGAAACCTGTTCGTGTCCTGCCGTGTCTAATTTTTTTAAATGTAAATAAAGTTTTTTTTGAAAATTTTACACGATCTTAACTCTTATAATAAAACGATATTCACGACATTTCGCCGTAGTTTAGTAGTCAAGCTTAGGTAAAATCTTCCTTGGTCTATTGACTTGTAAATATTTCTAGGATCCCACAGCGTCGGGTGCGGTTCAAATTGCCGAATTTCCTGGACACACGCATGGCGTCAACTGTGTAGTAAGTTAACATTTTCAATTAATATTATTTTTATGACAGAGTAAGCATGCGGTTGACTTGATGGACGATGAAATACCTTACCATATAACATATAAACAAGCGCTGTCGATCTTTTTTGTTTTGGATATAGCCGGAAATCCACAGACTGAAACGTGATTTACGGCTTTTTTTATCTGTAGGCGGTGTTTCATGACGCGGATGGAATTTCGTCATTCCTAGCACACATTTATTATACAGATTTTCAGACGAAGTCCAACGTGTTTTAGAAAACGTTATAATTTAAATACTAAATAAAGTATGTATTATTGGCTGTAGTTTACGCGAGTAGTACACATTTAAATAAAACACTTTAACGGTTTAAAACGCGATATATTAGTTAACTAATATATAAGCGTAAACTATAGACAATATTTAATTAACCAGTACGGGCTGAAAATGCAAACAAAGTTCGAAAACTAGAGTGTCTTATTTAAAAACGTTTTGAAACTGATTAGAAACTTTACCCGATGGAGATCGAATCTACGGTCCGTTGATTATAGAGCCATACATTACTACTATTAGATCAACGAGCACGTCGAAATATATCTTTTATGATTTATTTTTTAATTTTTGATTACTGTATTAATTTTCTGTGATTAAATAGTAATTGTCGTTTATACGAGTAGTGTACGTTTAGAATTTAGATAATCATCGTCTCGTAGTAAAAACTAAATTACCGTAATGTTTTACGTTTTAAACCATTAAAAGTATCTTATGATGTAATTATTAAGTACCTTTATAAAATGAAAAAATCTTTCCTTTTCAGGCGTTTTCGACGTCGTCAAAGTACCTGGTATCAGTTGGATCCCAACATGACATGATAGTAAATGTTTGGGACTGGCGGGCAAACCTCAAACTCGCTAGCAATAAGGTATACATATTTATAAAATTCAATGTCTTTTTTTTAGAAGGACACGTACAAATTCCAGAGACTCGAAGATTAGGAATTCTTTGCAAGACATCATAATCATATAATCAAATATTAAAACAGAATTTTCATAAAATAAATAAAATGAAATGTATTTTATTATTATTTTATACATTTTAAAAATTATGTAGATGCTTAATTTTATTTCAATAATGTTCGTCTGTCTGTCCGTCGTGATTCTACAGAGTGTTAAGAGTTAAAAGAGCTACATAACTGCAAAGAACACCAATACACTCAGTCCGGCTTTTTTTAACATGTCTTATAAACTTATACATTGTGAATTTATTAACCTAAGGAGCAATTCATATTACTGCCAGGCGGTCTTGTCATTAAAGAAATGGTTCAGACAATAATACGCCTTTTGAGACAATCTAAATGTTATAACTTTTGAAAATGTATTTATCGATAAATTTGAAACCGGGGCGGGCAATGTTTTATACTACTCTCTGTACCATTGAAACCATTCATGACTTCAGGATTCGAACACAGGACCTGTCGTGCTTAACTCAATGCTACGCGTTTACCATAGCCAGTCAATATGTAATGCGCGAGAGGTGCATATATCAGTAGATAGAAAAAAATCGACGTGTAGGACAATTAGTTAGAGCGAGGAACGCTATGTGCCGGTTAAGGTCGCGGCCGTGTTGTGAATTTTTTAAATCCAATTTCGATTTTTATGCAACGAATCAAGACATAATACAAGGAGATTAAAGATAGCATTACATTGCAGGTGTCTTCACGCGTGAAGGCTGTCAGTTTCTCTGAGAACGGGAACTACTTCGTCACAGTCGGATTCCGCCATGTCAAGTTCTGGTATTTGGAGTACTCGAGAAACGCCAAGGTATGACAAATGTACATATAACGTTTTTTTTACCGTAGCCAATATATTACACGTTTTTAAGCCGTTAAAAGTGATTTATTTAAATGGTCATAATGTGAACTATTGTAGTTTTAATGCGTTATACCAGACAAATTAACATTAATTTATATTTGTATCTGTCGGTAAATACCATAAAACGTAAATAATATAAATTAAATTAAAAAAGAACTAATAAACTATTATATAATAATTAATTTTTCAGTTCAAAGAACCAGTACCACTAATGGGCAGATCGGCTATACTCGGCGAACATAAAGACAACGAGTTCTGTGATGTGGTTTGTGGAAGAGGGGAATCTGCCGATAGCACATACGCGATCACTCGAGGTGGTTTACTCTGCGAGTTCAACAGTCGACGACTATTGGATAAGTGGGTGGAACTGAGGGTGAGTTTTTTTTTCAATATAAAAGTCGGTACATTTATATAGAATCTTTTGAAACTAATATTTATATTAGTATGGTATTCTAACTTTGAAATCATATAATGGCGCAGCCAAAACCTACTCTTTTCTAACTAAGAACGCATAACAGAGAGTAATTTTAAAGGGCTTAATTTTATTAAGACATTTTTAATTGGTCCTTCGAGCCGGACATATCACTATTGACTATTGAAGTTATACTTAGATAATACTTATCGTTTTTAATCTAGCAAAGTAAATATTATTTTCTCCTCAGACTTCAAGCGCAAACTGCATGGCTATCGGTTCCAATTACATATTTGTGGGTTGTGCGGAAGGAATCGTGCGCTGTTTCACACCTGACTCGCTCCAATATGTAACTACTTTGCCACGAACGCATTACTTAGGCGTAGACGTCTCGCAGGGTGTAAATATCAAGTAAGTATTATTGTCAAATATCTTTAGTATTGTTAAGTAAATTTTAAGATGTCAGATGGAATATTGAGATTGTTTGGTAAATATAATATATAATGAATATTTCTTTAGTCCTATGTCATTAGTTGTAATGACTACTCTCTATAAAAGGGCATCACTAAATCTCAATGGTTTAAAATCGGCCTTATTTCTTGTGGTCTTATGCCAAGTTACAAAAACACAACAGTTATTTTGTATTATTTTCACGTTTTAGAGAATTTATTTCAATTATTTTCTAATTTCTAATTCTAACTGTTGTGCAACACTGTAGAACTTCGCCATTCTTTTGGTATGGTTCTAAAATACACACTAATTACTCCCATTGTGTAGTAAAATAATCTATGACACAGGCGGGACTAAAACCCGAGATAGTCTGGCTCGCTATTGTACTGAGTGAAACTACTGTTTTCAATACAGTGCAGTACGGTACTCTTAGTAACATTGAACTTTGAACATATAATTCAGTCAAGTCAAGTCAAAGAACTTATTCCACAATTGTGCCAAATTTCAGTCACATGTACGCGAAGCCATCCAGCGCCAGATATCCAGATGCTGTTGCTTTGACGTATGATGATAGGAACTACAAACTGACCTGCGTCTACAACGACCATAGCCTTTACGTTTGGGACGTTAGGGATATCAGACGGGTGTGTTTATTAAAGTAATTTAACTAAAAAAAACTTTTAAATATTCAAAAACGTAAAATAATATTTGTTACCTTGTTCTTAATTTATTTTAACTCTGCATAAGCCAAAAACATTAACCCCCCCTATCTCTAATTCCAGGTTGGCAAGTCCCACTCAGCGTTATACCACTCCGCCTGTATTTGGGGCGTGGATATGGTTAGCAGCGCTGGTCCTCTGCCTCCCGGAACTTTCCTCACCTGTTCCAGCGATGACACCGTCCGTTTGTGGAACTTGAAGCCCGAACAACCTAATATTTATAGTAATGTTAGTGTTAAAGTATACATTTTTATGTTATAATTGTATATAGCTTTGCGGCCATGCTTTTTGTAAAAGTCGAGATATCGATTTTTCTCCATTACGAGTGGATGATATAACCAACAGTTAAATACTTTTTCTAAAAAAAAAAAAAAAAAAAAAAAAATATTGGTTAAAAAGGGGGATTTTTTAGTTAAACTTATTAAATTATTTTTAACTTCGGCCCGACGTTTCGGATGCTTTGCAGAGGGGGGGGGGGGGGGGGGGGGGGGGGGGGGAAAAAAATTTTTTTAAGCAGTTGTAATTGGGGAAAAATCATTTTCAAATAAGTTAAAATCGCGTTTTAAACCGTTAAATGTTTTTATTTAAATAACCACGTTAAATGTTGCTGATTAAGCTAATATTGACTTAAGCCCTAAAACCTACTACCTACACAGACTTAAATTTTACGTATATTTAGTTAGAACACATGTAAAGGTTTGTTTCGTTTAAAATTCCAGGAATTGAACAAGGTATTATACATAGATCCGGAGCTAAAGTTCCTCAAGGACGTGGACCTGACGGCGACCAGTGATCGGGATAAGTCTAAGACTTATGACGATAAGATTGGAGTCAGGTAGCCATTTGACTAAATAATAATTAATATTAAATAACGAATGACATTCTAATTAAGAACTGAAAGTCCAAAATATGTATGACTGAGGTATTTTACCTATCATCGGGTGAGCCCTATGCTTGTCTGTCCTCCTCTGTCATAACAATATATGTTTTGAGCTTATTTCAAATTTGTTGTCATCAGTAAGGTCTATGTATTCCAACTTTAGTTTTGAACTTAAGATTTAACTACTACCAATCAAGTGAATGAGATAGTGTCAAAATGAATGAAGTCAACTACTAATGTTAATCCTAATTTTCTCAGATGTGTCCGTGTCTCGCCCTGCGGCCGACATATAGCAGCCGGTGACCGTGCTGGGAATATTTGGATCCACTCGTCCACGGGGAGCGGAACGCCTGCGCATACACTTGAAGCGCATGACGCCGAAGTTCTGTGCTTGGAGTATTCGGAGCGACCGCGGCTTTTGGCTTCCGCTTCGAGGGATAGACTGATACACGTTTTTCTTGTTGATAAGGTAAGATGAGAACCACGTAAAGTACTTATCTTTAAAAGGGTCCTTCGAGTCGGATGGGGCGTATTTTATATCTTTCTTTCATAAAGATAACAGTGGTTTATAGAAGTTCACTATTGTTTTAGTAGCTTTGAGAGCTTTTTAGTTTACTCGGTAAACAAATAGTATAAAAGTTGATACGTAAAGGTTTTCTTCTTTGCTTAGTATAATTATGTAAAATCTTAAAACGTTGATCTCTCATGTGACCTTGTATTCATTATTTCAGGGTTACCAAATCCTACAAACGTTAGACGAGCACTCATCGTCTATAACAGCTGTGCGTTTCCTTAGTTCGAGCGGTGGACTCCAGATGGCGTCTTGCGGAGCTGATAAAACTATACTCTTTAGACAATTGAATACGGTATGAATTATAATCTATTCTCTGGAAATCAAGTCTCAATTAATGTGTATTATAAGTAGATAGTGTTTGATGGCATCTTAACAGAATAAAAGCTGGAGTATTCATTAGTATGCATTTATTCCAGATGCCAGACGGTAGCTATCAGTTCGCCCGTGGTCAGAATGTATCCGGTCGCACCACGCTTTACGATATGGAAGTAGATGCTGGAGGCAGACATATACTTACCGCTTGTCAGGTACTGGACCTAAAAGATCTAGGTTGTTTTAATGGTCTACCTACTTTGTTTATATTAATTAGGACATGCATATTAAATCCGGCAAACGTTGTTCTGCTATATAAATTATTTCTAGAGAATTTTCAGCACGTATCTGGTAAGACCTCTAGGCTTCGGTCCCCTCCTTGCTCTATGCTGTTTACTAGGCTAGAAGGGTGAAAATTTAGGATCGAAAATATTTTTTAAAGCAAAATTGAGAAAAAAAATAGTCCAAAAAAATAAATTTAATAGGGGTATAAAATAGAATAGAAGATAGTAACCTATTCTCAGATCGAATCGTTTTGAAGGTCAAACATCGTGACACGAGAATTTTGTATATTCGATTATGAATCCCTTTTTTACCAATGTATAATTTTTAGGATCGCAACGTAAGGGTGTACAGTGCTTCCCATGGGCGACACACTAAGACATTCAGAGGTACCACTGCGGAAGATGGTACTTTGATTAAGGTACCAAACTGTTTCAAAAACATTATGTGATTTTTAATGATGTCATGCGTTAATAAACAGTTTTGTCATTCCAGGTGGCGCTAGATAACAGCGGTATATACCTGGCAACATCTAGCACAGATAAAATACTGAGTGTGTATGACTACTACTCGGGAGAGTGTATGGCTACGATGTATGGACATTCCGAAATCGTTACTGGGCTAAGGTAAAATATGTTTACACCTTCTTCCTCGAATAAGTCATGTCATACATGTTGTCATGTCGTCGTATGTCGCGATATGGATGGTGGATATGGGGATAAAGATACCTCGTAGTGTGTAGGCACTCCTCAGAGACTTACGTCTGAATAGTACACCAGAACCACTAAACAAAGCACCAGGGTTTTAATTATGTTCTAGGAATATGTATTTCTCGGCCAGAAAAAGGGATTTAACATACTTACAAGTGCCTTTTTACAACGACCTATATGGTAAAATAACACTGGACTATGTCGTATCCAAAGTAATTAATTTATTACCAAATAGAAAGATCCACTTACCACTAAAAATATTAAAACCAAACTAAAAAAATCCTCCAAATATCTTCAAAATTAATGTTGCGACTTACTTTTTGTTTATTGCTTATCATAATGCGTAAAACTGTCCGTAATATAATTATATAATATGTGTAATGTGTAAGAGACGAGGACCTTACGGAAAATCGAATGAGTTTTTGCTGTCGCTTTTTGTGTTCCAAATAAATATAAAAATTTCAATGAATTAAAATAAATAAATATCGATATTTTTTCGGGTCATTTTTAAAAATGTTTGTCGAATTCATTCATATTGTATTGTATGACAGCTTTATACTGGACCTTATATCTTTTTAATCTCCAAAGGGCATAATATGAGCATTCTGCTTCATTATTGAAATATCTTAATTTCATTTGTTATCATTATTACAGGTTTACGCCAGACTGTCAACACTTAGTATCGGCCAGTGGGGATGGGTGCATTTTTGTCTGGCGAGTTCCGCATGACATGGTGGTCACCATGAGGGCCAGACTGGCGCAACAGGCTATTAGGCAGGGCAGGTAATAAAAAAATATATCTTAGCTTTTTTTATCTATAGTAGAAGTTTCTGAGGGATATTATTAGTTTACAAACTGGAGAATGCCTTATAAAACCCATTTTCCAGATTGTAGATTAATTTTATTTCTGGTTAAAACATTTTTTCTTTATATATTGGTTATATATACTATATATGTGTTTTTCCAACAAATAATACAAATAAATAAATTTACATATTTGTGAATTGCACAGAAACACAAACAACACGATTATACTAACACAAAATAAAACGCTAAGACAAATAAACATAGAGTTGTGAAGAATATAAACTAAAATGATAAGAATATGAACTTAAGATTAGTGTTGCCATAAACTAAATTAGTGTTGCCATAAACTAAGATTAGTGTACCTACCAATATGTAAATTATCAACGACAATATTATAATTTTGGGTCCAATAGAAGGCAGGGTGAGAAGTTCCCGCCTTTGCTAACGAGTTACCGTTCCGCTTATTCCCCTTTGCGAGGGGTTTCCGTCTCATACTGTGTCATCAACCTTACCGTTTTTTATAGAATTATAACAATTATTAACGACATCAGAGCTATTACTAATAGGGAAGTGTATTCCATATTACAACGTTATATTTCTTTAGGAAAGTGACACCAAGTAACGGAATGTCCGGCCTTGAGAGTGAAACCGACTCCCACCTGGGATCACCTCCAAGAGAACTACCAACTGATGATAAGTTCGCCCCACCTGTTGTACCTGACTACACGTAAGTTTACTATTTCACTTTTTATGAAGACATGCATGGGATTCAATTGATGGTAGATTCAATACCAAAGCTATATAACAATCTAAAGATGTAATTTAAAAATCGAAAATAAATTGAAAAAATTTTCGACTCGGGCAGGGACTTGAACGGCCTGTCAGCTTATCCCGTGCTGTTAGAGCAGGTAAGGTAGTGTAGAGCAACAGCACGGAAAGCTGACGATGCCGGTTCAAGTCCTGCCCGAGACGAAAAATTTTTTCAATTTATTTTCGATTTTTAAATTATATAGTGCCTTCATGTGCAATAACATGTGAAAAATATTAATGTTTTCAAATCTAAAGATGTGCCGTCGGCCTATTATCTTAATATTAGACTGAAACCGAAACGCGTGTTACGTGACCCAGACGTTGTATTGGTATACTAGTTGTCAAAACCGAAATTTGATTAATCGTTCCCATATAAAATGAATTTGACACATGGAAACAAATACACTCTATGCATATGCTATCTTAATAGGTTACGAATAGGCCGCCTTCCATCATGGGCCAAGAAGACCTTAGGCGATGAACTATCAGTACCTGAAACTCCACCTGAACCGGCGGTTAAGGGGAAATGGGCGACCAGGATTATGCCCTCTAGTGGTTAGTATATAGTGTAGTTATGTAAAATAGACATTTTATTTTATCTGTATTAAAAACTATTTCAACCTGAATGTAATAAAGTAATATGTAACCCAGGAGTATTCACATTTTAAATGTTATTTGTATTAAGTTTTAACTGTTTAATACGCAAAGTATTGTGGTTAATTGGCTTTTGTTATAACAACCGATTGACCATCAAGCACATGACTACAGCTAAAAAGCACCCAAAACAGCAGATCGTGGAACTGTTAACCTTTATATATAGTTTGTTTGTTTGTCTAGATAAACGGGTCGATTCCGACGGATCGAAAGATAGTTCTTTAGATAGCGGTACAGACACACGGTATATTGAGAAGCGGCGAGAGCAAGGTGTTAAACAGGTAAAAAATACATAAAAATGTCATTTATAATACTTCCAATGGCCTTGGGATGTAATTTTTTTTGCAAAGCAATGTACTTCATACATTTTGTTTTTGTTTACGATTGTTTTTTAATGTTTATTTGGTTATTTTCAAAACTTTAAATAATTTGCACGCGAGTAGATAACTTACTTGTCAATAATATGTAGATTTTGTAAATACATTATGTTCCCCGTGCACACGAAATTTAATTAAAATTTTGTATTAATACAAAATTCTCGCGTGTGCGGTGAACTTAGGTATGTTTGTCTAACGTTTAATTCACATAGGTGGCGTGGTGATGGCTTTTGCCATTTTCTTAGTGTCCAAATATCCTCTATGCTATCTTATTCTAACTGTGTGCAATAGAAAGAGACACAAATACTTTAGTTGCTAATAATGGCAGATTGAATGTTTGGATATTACGTGGTTATGGTATTTTAATCGACTTAAATTCCTGTTATATTTTTGATGCATGCTCTTTTAACCTTATTTTGTAAACTAATATAAAAAATCCAAGGATACGTGAAACTGCCGACTCTATTTGTCTTTGTCTTACAAAGTGGTGTGATAGGGACTTATAAGTTTAACGAAATTTAAGTCGATAAATCCAGTGATTGTTATCGAGTCGAGCGTATCATTAACATGTTCTCATACAACTAGAGACCGAAATCCCTCAACTTGTCACAACTGCCTCGTGTCGAAGCGTTGTTCAGGAATTTTGATCGAAACATGAGAGCCACGTACGATATATTGACGATATCTCCGAGGGCAGAGAAGGTTTTTCCTTTTTTTTTGCATTTTTCTTTGTTTTGTCGCACGTATCCAGTGTTTGTCATGCTTTACATCCGGCTTTACAGTGTACGAGTGTTGCTAGACGTAAAATTTATTTTCACTTAAGCAATCAAAGAGCGTTACAAATACAGTTGACGCGAGTAGTACACATTTACATAAAACACGATGTATATCAGTTAAACTTATTTGGACATTATTTCTACGGCCCGACCCGACCTCCCCGTGACCACGGCTGCTGCAAAGCATTCGAAACGTCGGGCCGTAATTCAAATAAGTTTAACTAATATAAATCGCGTTTTAAACCGTTAAAGTATTTTAGCAATCAATAGTAGGCAAGATTTGTTTCGAACAGTCGCTGTAGTCAATTCCTGTTTTACTCGTTCGTACTCGTAAAAGACTAAAATATACAAAATGAAACATAAAAAGGGAAGAAACGACTTATAGCATTATTATATTTAAATTTAATATATATTTCACATTGAAAAGATGGACGACATGCGCAGGATTTGGTTCTGTTGCTGCTTTACCAATTGAGATGTTGTTTGCCCCATTTATTCCATCTCCTTATTGAATTTGATTAATTCATTTATTCATGCGCATGATTCGCGATTTCGTTCTTAACCCTTAACGCGCTACTGTCGTCACATTTCTAATTAATTCAATCTTAAATATATTTATAATTAACTTGTTTTACTATTAGGCCCATGGGGGTTATATATTAACATTTTTTTATTGTGTGTTTACGTTTGAAATATAAATTTATGCAATATGTTTGCTTAATGTTTTCGCATGCTATGTATCATGCATTATTATAACTCATTGTGATGCTTGTATTTAATCTTAACGAAAATATATAATAGCTTAAATACTGTCATGTAGTTTACGCGATTACACAGTTAAATAAAACACTTTAATAATATATTAGTTGAACTATGCTTTTTTAAATTCAACTAATATATTTCGCGTTTCAAACCGTTAAAATGTTTTATTTCAATATATAACAGCTTTTTTGACTCATTTCTATGATGTTTATTAATTTAATTATTTGGTTTTCTAGGCATAGCATAACGCTTTTTAAAATTATTTTTTTATTGTTTTTTTATTTTTGTTAGGTAACGATAAGTATTACGAAACCGCGAACTCAAGAGTCGCGTGTCCGACACCACACAGACGATTCTTCCCTTGGCAGTCTCAAATTTGAGGTTTTTAGTTTTTTTTTATTTTCCAATAATTTTTCACGTCGATAGGAGAACAATTAATTATTAGTGTTTTATTTAGACTTTTAACTTAATTGAGGGACCTTTGAGTGTATATATATTATTTCTCTTTTCTCTTCTACAGAAAAATTGTGTTTTAATATCTTAATGCACATTTTGAGGAAGGTTCACTTACAGATTGGGTTGGGTTTTTCGTTACAAGTACTCTGCAGTGTTTCAAAAAACCAGTAACATTTTTAGTTTTTTTTTAAATACTATAACGTACATTACACTATTAAACTTAGCGCCATCTATTGATTGACTGGAGAAGCTTTGTTTACGGTTCCATATTAAAACTTTTCAGGATCAAGAGTCCACAGAACATGATGGTGATGTTGAAGACATATCTGATGGCGAAAGAACGTCCTCTTCTGAGAGGGGGAACAGACCTACTTATTACCCAGGGAACGCCGACACAGATACACCCAGGTATTTCTTCTAACTTGGCAAAACACCACAACAAATATGGCCGATTTCAAATTATAGAGAACTTGTCATGACCTTTTATAAAGAAAACTTTTTGAAATAATAATTAATTAATTTCAGCGAATTCATGGTAACAGCTATGGACGCGACGGAGTTGAGGCAGTCTATGCGTCGATCCAAACGCTGGACTGGGGAAAAGCCCAGGCTGGATCTGCCACCGACCACTTCCCTTAGCGGGTCACCACATGATTCTGATGATGATGAGGTATGAGTGATGTACTGGACTTGCATTTGTTTCTCTAAAGAACAGCATGCAAATTCACATCGCAGTGTCACTCTATAGTTTACGCGAGTAGTACGCATTTAAATAAAAAACTTAACGGTTTAAAAGCTTTGCTTTTCGCTTTGCATTAGTCGTCAATACCGCTGCTGCAAAAGCATCTGAAACGTCGGGCCATATTAAAATAATTGGAGATCAGTTTAACTGACACATTTGGCGTTTTAAACCCGTGTGCAATATATTCTGGAGAGGGCGAACACATTTCTGTATCCGTTTTACTAAACGTCGTTATGACAGACGAGTTGATCAAAATGAAGGAAACAAAAACTTCTAAGAAATCAGAAAAAAAGTTATCTCTTTATAACGCTCGAGCTTTGGAAGAAGGAAAAAGTGGAGTTGTTATAATAGTAATGACAGAAATGTGTCTTTCCATACGCTCTCTAGTTTCCAAATTCTTACACTTCCATTGCATTCAAAACTCCACCTCCATTCTTGAATGTTCTCGTTGTAGGTATCAACGCCATCTGGTGACAATGCTGACAGAAATCCTCTTTCTGGTTCCTGCGAGTCGATAGATACTGCCGGAAGACGAGAGAAATACATCAAATCCGCATTTGACAGTTTAAGCGGCGTAGACGTGGATAAGGGAACAAATGGTAAGTAAGAAATTGTTTTTAGTAAAAGCTAACAACAATTAAGAAACAAACTTAAGGTTAACAATAATTCGAGTCCATTTGAATTGCATTAAGGCAACATTATTTGATAGGTAGCTACTAGGATGCATCGTCGGCCTTTATTTTTTATTGAGACACGTCAGATACACAGAAAAGCATGGTAGGTGATATACCCCAGCCTAAACAAGATGCGCTGTCGTCCTCTTTTGGCTTTCAATATTCGAAGTATTGTCTTTTGTTTTAAACCGTCAAAATATTGCTTCTAAGTACACCTCCCTGGTCTGAAGTATATACTCTTTTAAACTATAGTACAATTCTTTTAGGAACTTCAGGAAACAATTCTCTATCAGCGAAGCACTTATCTCGTGGTCCCACCGTCAGGCCGGATCCGGAAGCGGTAAGAAAGAGGGAAGAACTCCAGAGAAGGATATTAGAAACGAGAAGACAGTTGGAAAGTGTAAGGAATTTATCCCATTTGATTACAAAGAAATACCAAAACAAAGATTCTTAGTAACTACAGATAATGGCGATGAAGAAATAAACTTACCTAATAAAATACTGCCGCTGTAGCTCTATAAGTCATTCGTAAACATATTGCCTAGCATTGTGTCGGGCAAGAGATCTTTGGTTTGAATCCAGGGGCAACAAAATATTATTTCGGTCAAGTATAGAATTCCGATCACCTACTTGTTGCAAAAACAGATCGTTCAGCCAAACTGATGAGGCTTCTCCTCTATGAGGCTTCTCATAGAGGTCAACGGGATTTAATTTTTTAACTTATTTTGAATTTATTTTAACTAAGGCCTGATAATGAAATAGACAATGCTTTTTCATGATAAATAGCTAACTGGTTTCAACTTATGTTTTATTCTTTTTGAAGTCGATGTTGCCTTTTACCTTTGTCATACGTTTTTCTCAAGCCATATTAATATTTTCCAGGTGGCATTCCGTTCAACCCTCAAATCTAGTCAGTCAACGACTGATCTATCCTACATTCCGGAAAAGGACGGGTCGAAGAGAAATCGCCCAGTATCAATGGCTGTACCGAGCAATTCCAGACCTTATGGTATGATTAGTACAGTTTACAATCGCTATAATTTTTAAATTACAAGCGAATTTCAATAAAAAACATATTATTGTTTGCTTAAGAAAATTGTGTAAAATGTTTTTATTGAAGGAAAGTGGAGTAACCAAATATACTGAGTAATTTGATTGTTTAAAAATGTAATTAGAAGTAATAGCATATTTTACTTAAATTCTCTCCTTATATTTGGTTCTACGTATGCTATTTTAAACACTAACAATTTGCCATTTCACACTGTGTCATACTAACATTCATCATTATTTTTAACGCTGACCAGGATTCCAAATCCCTATTTTCCCGGAGGAAACCTTTGACAGTCTGTCTAGCAATTTCTTCGATAGTTTAAACTATCAAAATCTCGATTACAGAACCAAAAACCCTTACGCCATTCCCGCGAATTTGAACCACAAAATTATTCCTGAATATTACGAAAATCCTCCTTGCCTTCCGCCAAGAGTAAAAATGGATAAACATAATCCACAAATAAATAAACCAACTCATAAAGAGCACGAAAAGGGTCAAGCTTTCACTGATATAAAAAAACCAAACTCGAAAGTGTTCAGCAGACTGTTTACTACCAATGACGACCAGCCACCAAAAGTACCTCCAAGGAACTTTCATTTAAATTTAAATGAAAAACCGCAACCGAAAACACGAAAGCCTAACGCTAGGAGCATATTTAAAAACTACAAATCCTGCCCTGTGTCGCCCGTTTCTGAGGAATGTAAATGGGCCGACAAGGTACCGCCATCCCAAAATACTCATGAAAAACCTACTAAATCGAGTGATACCAAAAAACGTAACTCTCTTAGCTTCTTTGTGGGCTTAGACAAAACGAAACAAAGTAGAAGCATCGTCGACACGATAAAAAGCGATACAGAGAAAATGATAGCGGAAATAACTAAGAAATATGGTGATCTGGACGAATTCGAACCTAATTCGCGTGACGATTTAGATTTGAAACCTACAAAGGAAGAAAAAGACGACGGAAACTTTTCGTCCGATTCTCTAGAAGATTGTAGCTTGAGTCAAGACGCCAGTTGCAAAAACAAGTTGTATTCTAAGAAAATATGCAAGAAGCATAGCAAAGCGACAGCACCGAGACGGGCTATATCCAACTATGAGATATACGGAACCTACGAGAAACCTAAGATCCCCGCAAAACCTTGTATAGAACAGAAAAGCTCTACACTACCTAGAAATATGCCTTCGAATCTAGAGGACATTATGGATGAAGATATAGAGAGGAACTTCTCTATGCATAGGTGCCAAAGTGTTCTAACTAAACGATGCATTACGAGATCCAATGAATCCGTTCTGAGCGATCATTCGAACTGCTCGAGTGTATCTAATGAAATTTTCCTCAAATATGGAAACGAGATCGCGTTCCAACAAGCGAAGTTCACAGATAGCCGATACAATCTGAGCGAGTCTCAAAATTGCTCCTACGAGAATATCCATGAACCAGATAAGAAATATTTGGAAGCGCACAGACACAGCAGCGCTAGTTTCTTCCTAAACCAGAAGAAGTATATGAAAAGTAGCTGTAGTCAGGAGTCGGTACTATCTGACGAGTTTCTCGATAACGAAAACTATTTGTCCCGTACTAATTGCAACTCGTTGGAAAGCGTTTTATCAGATGATTCCGAATGTACGAAAAGTGCACCCCTAGAGATGCTCTTTGAGGGGAAAAGGTTTCGTAGTAAAGTGCCCAATAGCCAAAGCTGCTATGAATTTGACAATACATCTAAGAGTTATGGATCCAGCCCGAATAAAGTACCACAATATTTGACCGGGTATATGCACAACAACTACTTTGAGAAAGCGTCAAGAATGGAGTACAAAGAGCCGACGCCGATAGTCGCACAAAAACCTCAGATGCAAAAAGTTTACGGCTTTGATATACCCACATCTGAACTCTCAGGACATAAAACTGTGACTAGGTCGAAAAGCTTATATGATTCAGCATCAAAACATCCACCTCCGCCACCCAAGAATATAGCTTATTACTTCGATGGAAGTGATCTTAAACAATACAGTGGTGAAAAGAAAGGAGTAGATGATATACCAAGATTGAAAAATAACGATTATATGGCGAGCACGAGTAAATCATTGCAACCGAAATTTTCCGAAACACAGAAGTACAAAACCGAAATGGAGGGATGCGAGCCGAAAGCAATGGTCAAATCTAAAAGTTGTAGTTTCGAAGTTGTCTTAGAACCGGCGTCGAAACCGAACCCTTTGAAGAATCTAATGGAGAAACGCAATTCGCACGTTCAAAAGAATCTGGAAAAGTTCGAAGAACAAATACGTAAAAATACGCAGACTAAAGTTAATAAAAACCAGCTCAATAAAGAGAAAGCTAACGTATCTAAGTACAACAACGCAACAAAGAGCCTAGAAAGAGATTCCAGTCAAAAGAACAATAATAATAATAATAACAAAATTACGATGGAGTTCGTCCCCCACAAACCTCCAAAGCCAATGAAGAGAACTTCATCGACAAAACTCAGTAACAGACTAAAGGGCAACTTTGAGAAATCCGGACTCAGTTCTTCTATATCGTGTCAGTATAAAGCTAAATTAGACGGCCTGCAAAACAAAAATTACATTACTAATAAGAAGATGGGGGATAAAAATTCGAACATTTTAGATACGGAGGGTACTGAAAAAACCTTCGATATATTTGTAAAGGAAAAAGAAATAAATGATAATAAATGCGAAATGCAGATGGATAGTCTCGAAGTATATGCCATGCAAAGAATGGAGAGAAGAAAACAAATGAGTATGGACTCCTTAGACGTCAGTGACGACAGTCACGATTTTGCTAAAGACTCGCTCGACTATTATACAGAACAAGATAACAAGTTTTTCGATAAGCCCAAGAAAGATTTCTCTAACTTTGAACACATCAAAAAAGCACATCAAACTCCAACCACATCCAACAGCAAACAAACTGAATCGAAAGAGAATATCGCGCCAGATAACGACGTAGTGCAAAAGTACAAATATATTGAACGAAAACTGGAAATCATCAATAAACTTGTAGAAATGGAGGAGCGAAAAATTCTTCAAGAGAAAATTCTAAAAGAATTCCGCATGAGGCCTTTGGAAGCGAACATAAACGACGGCAAAGGGGTGGTCAAAGTTCTATCGCAAAAGTTTGAGAAGTTAGCAACGAAACAGAGCACTGTACCCAACTTCGCTTCCTTGACGTTAGAGGAAGTAGCCGACCGCGAAAATCTAGACAACAAAGAGATCAAACGTAACTTGAGCCTTCCAGACATCCTGGATACGGAACAAATAGGTTTGACGGTCGGTGGTGGCGAAACGTCGAACGACTGCGCTAATATTGCGCCTGAGCAATTAAACAATTCAGTTGTGAACTTGGAGCCAGCGAAACACTTACCGCAGCGAGTGTACAACGAGATGGTATATCCGAAAACAGATGTCCATTTGGACAGCGAAAACTACGAATCGTCCACGACCAGTTCTAGTTGTACCAATTCGCCTAAACGCATGTCCGTCTACGGTTTTAGTAGACCGAAGACGCCGTTTAGGAAGTTGCTTCGACACCCGACTCCTAGGCTTTACTCCGATAGTCAGGCTAGGATGCGTCCCCCCTTATGTTCGGGGAATGCCGTAAGGGGTTTAGCCAAAAAGTGTCCCGTTGTCCCGGTGCTGCCTTCGAAATTTCCAACTCCAGGTGCGGTCGCATGATTAGATGTCGTGACGGTTCTCTTATCAGTTGCGCTTATGTATAGTGCGAATCCTAGTCGTTATATAGTTATTATATATGGATATAGAAATACTAAATCTGTTTAAGACGCATCACATAACAAAAAAGTGACTCAAATTTAAATAAAACACTTGCTATCGAGTTCCCTAGCTTCGGTTGCAGTTAGAAAGGAGTTTTCAATATATTTCGCGTTGTAAAACGTATAAAACTGTTTTATTTGAAAGTGCACTACTTAGTAAACTATGTAAATTAAATACTATCTGTACTTAAAATAAAACAATTTGGATTTTTTAAAACGCGATGTATATTGGTTAATATTGTTTGAACATTATTTTAACCACGGCCCGGTGACCACGTGAAACGTGGGACCGAAGTTAAAATAATTTTAAAACAAGTTTAATCAATCTATATCGCGTCTTAAACCGTTAAAATTATTTTATTTAGACCATGTAAATGTCAAATTAACTTAACCTCTTGATCTATTTAAGGAGTAACACTGTCTTTAATATTTCTATATCGTTGATCGAAAGATGTTTCATGAACGATCACAATCATTGCTTCGTGTGTTGTTTTCAGATTGCAGCATGATTTTTTTTATTGTGTGCACGATTTTGAGTTTTAGTGTTTTGTGAATGAGTTTTGATCGTGGTCGAAAATTGTTGTTTTTGACCACGCAAGCTTTATGCATAGCGGGTTATAGAAGGAAGTTCACTGAGTATGAAAGATCAATTTTGGACTGGTTACAAATCACCCCGTGACCACGGCTGCTGCAAAGCAAACGAACGTTTTAAACCATTTTCATTAAAATGTCTATAAGCTCTCAAATATCGGAACTTCCCTCAATGCCCTGTCGATGTTAAGCATGACGTATTATGCAGCGCGCACGCACCTTTCGCCGCCAGAAGAGAGCGAGACGGGTATGCGTCGCGCTATCTCGCTTTCGGACCTCGCGGCCAAGCCAGTGCCGGCGCCGAGAACACCGCAAGGTGGGTAGTTAGGAGTTATTTGTCATCAGGAGTGGGATATAAATAAAATATACTTATAAAAATGAAGAAACATTTAATTCCATACTCTTTTTTTTACGACCGAAAGGGGAATATATGGTTAACGATAATTATTGATTTTTGCATGAATTGGTGTGATACATTGATTAAATATAAATTTCATATGCTAGTAGACATTTGCCTGATGCTTAAATTTATATGCATGCAAGGATTTTTGCATATTAATACAAATATCAGCTTTATACGGTATGCTATAACTAACATTTTAATTGTATTTGCCTATACTAACTATTGGGTAAGTTAATTACTACTCATTATTTCTCGTTATTTTTTCCTATTTTTTTTACAAAGAAACGTCAGATACACAAAATATCTTCCCGTCTCTTTAGTTTCATACATTACCATTTAGTGTTACACAAGTGTGCATGAACTTAACTTAAATATACTACATACTAGCGGCTGCTAGAAGCAGAGTGGCCTAATAACAAAAAAAAACTCTAGCGGCCTCATGTTAAAATAGACTATATTAATTATTCTCTTTCACGCCAGGACCAACAAAAACAGTCCCGTCTAACACAAACACCAGTAAGTCGCCAGGCGGGTTCGTGCGTCCAGCACCACGATATGTCAAATCTAACATGACAAGAAGTAGCAGCGTCGGTGTATTGAATCAGGTAATAACAACTTCTACATATATTATGATGGAAGAGAACAGGCAAGCATGTGGTTCACTTGGAAGGTGGAATAACCCAGCCATATAACGTCTTAACAAGATGTCCTGTCCATATTTTGACTTTGTATATTCAAAAATCCACAGAACCAGTCTGTGGATTTTTACGCGACCGTTACGCGAGTAGACAAACGGCTTTTCCATCTGTTAACGGTGATCTGCGACTCGGACGGATTTTGGATGCTCCTACCACCTATTTAATATCCAGATTTCCAGATGAAGTCCAACATGTTTTAGGAAAATTAAATATTGTTTTCCGATCCGATGGGGTCGAACCTGCGACCCGTTTATTATTAGCGATACATTGCCACTATTACACCAACGAGAACGTCAAATTGTCTGTAGCTAATATGTATTTTACATTTCAAATAGTTAAAAGTGTTTTATTTAAACTCTAACATAACTGACTTATAAATAAAAAACTTTAAGTTTAAAACGCGATATATTAGTTAAACTTATTGACTTCAGGTGACTCAGAATCTGCACAACCAGACCACCCCCCTTTTAAAAAGAAACAAAAAAAAAAGTTTAACAAAAAAATCGCGTTTTAAACCGTTAAAGTGTTTTATTTAAATCTCAGAGTGACTCAGTCTGACACCACGCGCCGCGTGTGGGAGGTCTAATGCGACCTACGATCAGCTCCATGAACAAACAAGCTGCTAATAGTGCAAGGAGGCGCGGTCTAACCAACGCTTATAGCACAGGTAACGACCACTATTAGAGGGAGAAGGACTCCCATACTCCTATCTCTATTTTGTCTAATATCACTATTAATTAATGATTAATCTAGATAGATCTAACTTGAAATATACGTAGAAACAGCAGTAAAGTGCTTTAGCACATGACTAAGGATTAAATACAATAATAATTCACTCTTCCTGCTATAAATGTTGGTATATTTAGATTTCTTTGTACTCTTAATTTAAAAGCGTTTCAGAAAAAAAAGTACATATTTTTATTTGTAATTTCAAATGCGACCACGCTTGCTTATAACATCCACGCATAAAACCAAGCACAACATTTTCAGCGAACGTAGCCCGTTCCGAGTCAAGCTCTGAAGCGGATGAGAGGACAGAGGCTCCGGTACCTCGCCCCAGGGCTGCATCAGCGGACAGAGCTTCAAGGAGATTGGGTAATTAGGAATTTATGATCAATGCCCTCTAGGTGCGACAACGACATACTAGCTTTGGAATTGGCATTATACATAGTATAGCATTACAAACTAAATTTCTACTGTTTCATGGTGTCAACTGCTTGTTTTAAGAAGAACATAAAGATTTTAAATTTTAATTGTCAGTAAATGTGAAAACTTATACTATATTTGCATAAAATATATAGCTATAGTATTACATAATATACTACAAACGAGGAGATGCAAACTAGAAAGAGATTTTCTATACACCATTGTAACTAATAAGGATAAATAATAATAATAAAATAAATAGGTATGTAAATATTGGTAATATTTCTAAGCAAAACAGAATATAAGTATGGACATTCATATGTATGTGCTAGAGACGGAATTAAAAAAAAAAAACAGTTCAAAATGAATAAGCTAGTTTTATCTCTGAATCATAATGGTATTGACGGACTGGAATGAATGAAAATATGTTATTATTACTGTTGAGAGTCAAAGTTATATAGTATACGTATGTGTTGCAGGCCGTAGTGGCAGTGAACGTGATCTGTCAGCGAAGGCGCGCGAAGTGACCAATCGTCTCGCCTCGAACACGCGACAGAGGACGAAACAAGAGCCGACCGAGAATAATAATTGTTAGTTATTAACCACCTTCATAATGAGCCCCCCCCCCCCCCCCCCTGATGGGAAATCCACATAAACCGAAACGCAATTAAACTTCATGTCTTTTCGTCTGTTGACCATTTTTCTTCTGATATTCCGACAAAGTCTATCATGTTTCAGAATTGCTACTACCAGACCAATGAACCTGCAAAAATAAACCCACTCCAAACCAAAAATCATTTAAAGAAGACTCTTTATCACACATATTTTTAGTTTCTTTAACCGGGTTCGCAGTGTTGGGCGGACTATTAAAGATTAATATTTTTCTCGTTTTTTTTCACACTTCCCTCAGTTTTCTCGCTTCTATTGGTGATCCTTTATGGCCTTATGTCTTAGCATATTCCTGAGATTAGCGACCGCGTTTAGACAAAAAACTCTTTAGCTTTTTAATATTAGTATAGATTCAGAGTACAACGTTATTGCAATTTCAGTGTCGTCATCCCAGCTGTGTTCCGATCTCACCGAGCAGCTGACAAAGACGGCGAGCAAGGTCGTTCAGCTCTACCGGACCCTGCAGAGAGAACCGAACGCGGCCGCCGACATCAGTGGTAAGATATAAACAGGGGGGGTTTCTGTTCAAGATATGTCCTCAAAATTGTTGCATTTTACCACTTCTACGCTTCGGAGGATGTTGATTAACTCTTACGGTGTTTTTCCTACTTCTCTTTCTGGGATGCCTTGATTCATTTAACTAGACATTTTGGACATACAAACATTTACAAATCTTTCATAAAACACTACGTTAAAAAGTTAAATAACCTAAAGGAGATACAATAAGAAATGTCTAATAATGTAAAAATTTACTTTTTGAATTTAAGTAGCTTGTACCAGAAAATTTACTTTAAGGCAGTTATAGAGCACAAAATATCTAAGAAAAACTTTCAAACGTAACCATTTTTTGCCAGGACTCGAGGCGGCGATCCTTGAGACCCAAAAGGTCCTGCGTGGCGCTGTACAAGGCGAGCCAGATCACAATCGACAAAGGATAGATAATTTGTTGTCCAAAGGTACATTGCTTCGGTATATAGTATTAAGTTATTATTATAATATTTACTTATTATTTCAATTTCTCTGTCTACCCTCAGAAGGGGCTACAACTGGCAACCCGGCGATGACTCTCATAGAGCAATACTCGGATATCTTGCTCAACATGATGCAGAGTAAAATGGTCAACCAATTCTCGCAGAGTCCTCAAAGTCTACCCCCCACCCCGCGCGAACCCGGAGGAGAAAGCTAGTATACGAAGTGAAAGTGGACAAATGTACTGTAGCCAAAGTGATAGAAGGAATTAAGGGAATTGAATTGTGGAAATGGAAAAATTACAACGGAATCATAATATTATAATTTAATTAATGAATCGGAAGAGTTACGAATTATCGATTTCTTTAATGAAACCGTAAATACTATGATAAAATGTATTAGATAAATAATTTATTGGAATTGTTCAGGAATGGGAAATATTCAAGTGTTTTATAGTTAAAGGTTGAGGATTTTATTTACGAAATTTGATATGGAATTGAAATAATGTTATAAACGAAAGGTAGCCACAAAAGCTAGCTTTAGTCTTTACTTAATTACAACAAATAAATCCATTTTGCGCTCAATAAATTAATGTTCTCTTGAAGCCTCAATTAATGTTTTAGTAAAGCTGAGCTAGCTTACTACTTGGTCTGGCACCCACAATAAGTATAAAATGTATGACATTTTAAAAGTTGCCAATTTTTGTAACTTTATAAAGAGATGTTTTTGCTGAGACAATTAAAACACATGGCAACGTAATTAAAATATGTCTGTTGCGTTTGTCGTAATCTCCACCTTATTACAAATAAAATTTGCATTTATGATCATTCCATTTTGGCGGCAAATACGGCCGCCATCTTGATGCTGATGTCAACTGTCAGTGCTGGAACTTGCGTGACCATATTCGTTTTATGATATTTTGATAATCAAGCGAATATTCAGACAGATTTCACATATAATTGTGAAATAATCCGTAATTAAATAAAACAAAGTGTAAATAACCTTTGAATAAAATGATCGTTATATATTATAAAAGTATTATTTGCATCAGTGAATTGTTTAGATTCATGTGATAAAGGCTTATTTCGTAACATTATATCTTAACCATAATTTTTGTTTATTCTTGTAAAATATTACGTTGTTTTATATTCTTAACCTTCATGTAATATAAACACAGATAAATAATGTATGGGAAGATAAAATGTTATCTGAAATTTGACTTCCCTTAGCGAAAACCAAAATAACATGTTTAAAACAGTTATAAATAACGTCCTGTAAGTCAATGTAGTTTTTAAGGTAATCGTCACAATTTTTATGTAATAATTACTATAATTAACGTAGATAAATCCTCTTTTGAGACTCTCTTTCAAACTGTTTGATCTGTGAAATGCGTTTAGTGACATCTGACATTTAACCACAGACTACATCACTTATTATTTACTTTTCACAGATTATACTTGAAAGAGTGTGCATAAGAGATTTATACCTTAAAGTATATATTTATACCAATATTGAATTAAGGCGTTTTAATAAAACCTATTTTCTCAATACAAAAGTAAAACGGAATTATCTAGGAATTGTCAATTGTGCAACTGCTATCCTATTTTTAAAGTGAACGAAGATCATGTGTATCATTTTAAAGGTTTTAATTTAAAACATGCTAAGAAATAAAAATAATCTCCACTATTTATCGTTTAGTATTGAAATCGGAAAACGTTGAACATGTCAGTTAGACAATTTTGTAATCTAGATTGTAAATGTAGTTCTCGAGAACAATGGCCACCACAGGTAATCTTTTCTCTAAAAATCTTTATTTTTTTATAGTGTAAACGTATTACAAAAAACAAACTCTCATAACGCGTAACTTTTTGTTTCCTAAACTTGCTGCTAATCCTATTTCTTGTATCACACCTGTGGTGGACTCAAGACGGGTTATATATGTAATGGATCGTAGGTTCGAGTCGGTTTGATAAGGGTGTAGATAACTTTTGTATTTAATGTTCAAAATTGTATTGCCATGAACGAAAAAGACTAATGTTTAATGTTTATATTAATTTAGGTATGAATACAACATAATTTCAAGTATTTCAAGATTTGTTTTATTTATTTCTGAATTAAACTATTATTTTAGCCATAAATATTATAAATAAGAAATCTCTATTCTATTTCTATAAACTTTTACTACCAGGGTGTCCCAATTCTGTCACTTCGTGTAAGCTTGACGCCGAATTCTGGGACATTCATTAAAAGAACTAGTATTTATTTAAAACCAACTGTTTCCTTAGCTCAATGTGTAAACGTTTTAGCTAGCTTTGCTTTAAGTAAGAAAGGCCCTAGGTTCGATTTCCTGGGGAACAATAAATTGTTTCGGTCGGAGACAAGTCTGATTAATTACTTGCTGTATAATCGATCAGCGAAACTACAATAAGATGGGTAGCCCACAAGAAAAAAGGGATTTTTAATTTCCTTTGGTTTTAAAATCCTATTTGTAGGAATATTTAAAAAAATCTTAGAAGATTAAACAAAGTTTGTGAATTACTTTGGTTTGTCGTGTACAACGCTATAGTTGTATGACGCATCTTTAACTAACCCAGCACGAATGAGTAGATCTAGAAGAGGTCCATAGTTCTTACGTTCTGTATTGGGTATGGACCGAACACCTGTAAACAAAACATAGTTTTATTATTACGAAACTTAAACGATTAAAAAAAATGATATAATCATAATCCTTTTATTTAATTCTAGCTGTGCCAGCGACTTCGTCCGTGGGAAACGTTATTTTGGGCATCCAAATTAGTTTTTGCAAACCCTGACATCTTTATAAACTTAAGCTGTTAGCCACGACGTCGATCGCGTCCCTTCCCGTCGTTCTTGCGAGATAACCTTGAAAGATAGACATATGGCGTCGGATTTTTTTAGATCATTTAAAGAGGAATCATTCTTTCGTACAAATTTTTTAGGTATCTTGAATCGTTTTCGCAGCGTACGCATCTAAAACCCACAGAGATGAAAACTTTTCCCCGTTTTGTTTACATTTCCGCTGTATCTTCGCTTCTATTACCTCGGTTCGGTTCGTCGGTTCGGTGCAGTACGATAACCAACACAAAAAGAATTTTTCAATTCGAACCCGTAGTTGTAAAGATTAGCGCGTTCAAACAAACAAACAAACTCTTTAGCTTTATATGTGCTGTACTGTTATCTAATAAGAAACATTGAAATTCAGCGCTAAACAAGTTATGCTCAGCCCAAGTCAGTCTGACGCCTTGTAATACAAAAATAAATCATAAGTTATGTACAAGTCTTTCTTTTGATAAACAACGGCACCGAATAGGCGTAAGTCGTAGTAGTCTTTTTATGGACACTTAAAATGTTTTTTGGTTGTAGTGAATATAGGCGTATATACTCAATAATGGTCACAAAGAATTTACTGAGGCGATAACTTCGTATGGGAGGGCATATATTGACATTATTAACTAGAGTCGCTACGTAAAGCATTACGATACAAATTAATTTAAATATCATTCATGTGTTTTGCCTCCATACAGTAAAGTGAAGCGTCAAGCAAGTTCTTCGAATGTAACAGGAATGGGAACTTGTCGGTAAAAAAATCTACTCTATCGCTAGTATTACTGATTCACTTACTGACGGATTGCAACTCCTTCGTCGTGGTCTGCGGTCCAAACTCGTACACCACCTGAACGTCGGCATGATTTCCGAAACGATAGCCAAAGCCAATTCGATGATCGTTACCTGGTCAAGTAAATAAGAGGATTACAAATACATATGTTGCAATATTCTAAATAGCTTTAATTATTAAGAACATTCTTAGCAATCTATAAAATTATTATAGTTCTAGTATATTATCAATTATTATTCTAAATCTCCATGTCCACGGCTGCCTGGAAGAAATCGCTTTTGGCGATAAGGCCACCGTTTATCGCTACTTCTTTTGTTGTAATTTCTTCAAATGAAATCTTATATTTGTAATATTCTTGTGGTATCAAGAAAGTAAAGTAACAATTAATGATGTGTTTAATTTAGAAATATACCTTTTCGAATCGCCGGAGCAAATCCATATATGGTGGTGAAGAGCATAGCTATATCTTCAGGCACAACAAAAAACTTAGCTGTAGTGGGACAAACACCTAGAAATAAGATATTTTTATTTAGCGGAAAACATACTTTTTTTAGGTTACACGTTAAAGTAAAAAATATTCGTAAATTGAATAATAAGAATTTGTTATTTTAGCTATATTTATTTATTTTAGAAAGCTTTAAAAATCTTTTATTTTGGCCGTATGGCATACAGACCCGAGACCCAAAGTACAGTTCAATACTTTAAATTAAAGTACGTTTGGAAACCTTAATTGTTTATGTTACACATGTACTTAGCAAAATGTATTTTAAATCAATCAGTGAGTTCCTACAAAAACTTTGCTATACATTATTTTATATCACTAAATATTAAGATGGTACAGAATACAATAAAGACCACTTACAGGTACCAGTGTTAAAATTGTAACACTTTGTTTACACTTGGTACGATGGCTGCGTAACTTAATTTTTAAACAACCTTTGTAATTTGAGCCCTTGAAGTATGGTTAATGAAAATACCAGGCAATTTATAAAAATCGTTCCCATTACTCAAAGTTGAGTTAATCATTCATCTGACATTTGAATGTCTATGATCTATATCAATGATAAGTTATAAAGAAAAGACGTTTTTGTAAATAAAAAAAATACTATAAAATAAATATTATCAAGAAATTTGATAAGAACGAACGGGACACCGTAGCTCATAGGTTCGAGTCCCGCTCGTGTGATGATATTGATTTTAATCTAAAGAAATTATTCATTAAATTACCGCATACTTTATATAATAAACATTGATCTTAAAAAAATATATATACTTGACACGAACGGTAATCGAACCGGCGATAAACAGAGTCGTTGCTTTTACAGTTATACCACGACGCCGACAAAATGTTGTACTTCCCTTATAAAATTAATTGATTGGGTCATAAAGACGGAAACATTACATAATACGTTAAAACCAGTACCATTCGCACGGTTCTGCAAGTGGGTCAAGGTTTAAAACAGCTGTCCACATCCTTAGTACACGATACACATCTGTATTAACTTTTTGTACAAACATTAAAAAAAAAACAGTACAAAAAAGGTTCATTGAAAATTCCACACCGAAAATCACTATTAGTTTTTTTGCAACGTTCTTACGTCAGTTACGCGTAAGTGAAATACCCCTGCCATATACGTCTAAACAGGATGGGCTGTCGGCCTATTTCGTCTTTCTTAATCGAAACGCGATTACACTTTACGGCTTTTTTAACCGTGGATGAGAATTTCGATATTCCTACCCGTATTAACTTATTTTACTCAGATTATTACCTGTTTAATATCCAAATTTTTTAAAGAATTTTTTAATCTATGGAAATTGTTACATAAAAAGGTTAGATTACATTAGATTAGACAATCATTGTTACTATTGAACGTGTAACAATTAAAAATTATGTATTTAAATAATAAGCTGTCAAGATATTAGCTTTCCAAAAAACTGTTGTGTTCTGCAGTCTGTCTATAAATAATCCAAATACCTATCTATTGACTTAATAAATATTTAATTAAGTTTATAATATATATTAAATCAAATAGTGTATGTAGTTTACGCGAGTACAAATTTAAATAAAGCACTAACGGTTTAAAGCGTGGCCAGTTTTGTCAAATACCAACTTCGACGAAACAGATGGCACTAGCGTAACAGTTTCTTTTTGCTTTGATATCAGAGACACAATCTTTAAATAAGTTTAAGTGATATATCGCATTTAAAACCGTTAAATTGTTTTATTTAAAACTTTTGAATCATTAACCTAACATTTGTTGTATCCGCGGCCCTAAATTCAATCAAGCGCCACTTTGCACGCGCGGTGAATGTACAACCATGACACAGAAAAATTTAACGCAATTGTCATTTATTTTAACACATGATTGCACTTTTAAGTTAAGATTGTAAAAGCTACTGCCAATACTCACGTAAAAAGTAAAATAAGCCATGCTTAATAAGAGAGGCCCTGGCTTCGAATTCCAGAGAACAAAAAATTGTTTCGACCGGCAGGGCACAGAAGTCTGATTAATTACTGCCTGTTAAAGAACGGATCAGTGAAACGAACACAACAATGTGTTCGCCCCATGCCCCACGAGGGGGAAACGGGATTTCACTTAACCAACTTAACTAAGTATGATTTATTTTAACTATTGCCCGACGTTTCGGATGTTTTGAGTGCCCCTAATGTCGAAGTAAAAAAAGAAAACTGCTGTGAAACTGGTTGGTTTAAAACCGTTAAAAATGTTGTTTTTAAATCTGACCTAGTCACGTAAATGTACTACTCGTCGCAAATAAATATAATTATTCTCTTCTGCTTTCTTGGACCGATTTAAGGGCAAAGTAAATAGGCTTTTAGGCTAACATCACGTTGTATATTAAAACACTTTATCACTTCACAATTGGGGAGATCGCCTACTTGCCTAGTCACGAAAAAATATGCAATCGATTTAATAAATATTGCATAGAGAAGTAAAATGTAAATAGAAAACTTTTCATGAATCTGTACTCACAATCGAGAATTAAAGCGACACAAACAACCAAGACGACACCCGCCATTTTTTGACATTTCCAAAATTCTGGCCAACTTATCGCAGTACCGCCGTTTTCTATCCGAATGCATAGATTATGAGAATTTTTCTATTTAGGCACGACTATTGTTAGGCTTTATTAGTACTTTAATTTAAATATACGTATGCAATGATCATAATTAATAAACATGTAATGTAAAATGTTGTCTGTTTATTGAAGAATTCTTGGGTATAAAACTTAAAAACCAAAATGAGTTAATAGCGCATTGTCTCGTTCCCACAATCCCCTATAAAGGACAAGGATACAAAATTTCCTGTGGGCGTCAATCTACTGTTACATATTAACTCATTTTGGTGAATTATTTAATTATTATATTTCGTGGCTTTAACCATTGACGAAACAGGCAAAACACTATTTTGGTAAATTCGTGAAACATACAGCCTGCTTAAACTTATTTTAAATACGGCCCGACGCTTCCATAATCATATTTCAAGAATGTATTAAAAGTTCTTGGTATCAATAGAAATATCGCGTCGAGCCGGGCTCCCTTATAGTGCTTATAAACAAAGCAATTTTTTCCATGACACTGTTAACAATGGAACAATTATTTTTAATATCCACCAGTCTTTTAAAACGGAAGGACGTTGTAATGACTAATGAAAAGAATTAGTAATTATTCGAGGATCTTTATATTTGTACTACTTGTTATTTCGTCTACGCACTTGGTCATCGCTTATAATATTTTAAACGTTGAAAATATGCAATAAATCACCGCTAAAACTCACAGGAAAACTTTCCAAAAGCGACATTGGCGGCGTGGGTAAGTGCAAAATTATGTAAATTACTTAATAATTAAATAATATTATGGCACTGCTTTCGATTTTAAGGTATCTTATTACTTTACTCATACGCCCAACACCAATGTTCAATGGCAAAACATATAGCACTAAACACCAGAGATCCATGTTAGCTAGGACCTCTGGTGGGTAGGGAATAAAAGAACTAGTTCCCTATTTTTAACTTTTTTTTAATAATAGAGCAGACGACAGACAACTTAATGGAACAAACAGAAATTTCTCTTCCCCTCGTAGAGAAATTGGGATTTAAATAAAACACTTTAGGGGTTTAAAACGCGATATATTAGTTAAACTTATTTGAAAATTATTTTTAACTTCGGCCCGACGTTTCGGATGCTTTGCAGCAGCCGTGGTCACGGGGAGACTCATCAGCAGAAATTGGGATTTCAAGCATACTTTAGAACGAGTATCTCTATTATAGTAGTTACAAAATTTTTGTACGGTAGTTTCTGCGTTTAAGAATCGACGGATAAACGGAACCTGCAGACATTTTTTACATTCAGCTTTTACTTTAAATTGTATTTATATTAGAACTATGTATGGTGTCTTTAGGGAAAGACTTTCTTTATTTTTGTCTTATTTGGATAAATGTCTGTGTTACGTATACGATGCTGGAAAATACACAGTGTTGCTACAGACAGTTACAGACAAAGGTTACTTCAATTTACTTCCTCCCATAAAACTCAATAAAAGAAAGGATATAAGTGATTATAAGTGATTTTAAGAGCATACAACAATTTTATCTATGGTTATAAAAATAAGAAAGAATATAGCATAACGCACATCTAAGACATGTGATTATCCATAGTATATGGCTTTCTTGTTGAATGGGAACACACATACGTACGTTAGTTCCATTTAAGTTGTTTAACTTTCGACTTTCGTACACACACATAAGGTACAAATTTATTTGAAAAAAACCTTTATTTACCTCCACCTGACTTTAAATTTCGAATTCAAGGAAATGCTCTATTAGAATAATGTCGCAAGTGATTTTGTTTCTTTGCCAATAGTATCCGTCATAACTTGTGTTAAAGTCGACATTCCCTTGAGTGCTATCGAAGATATATCATTGTCGTAATAGTGAAAGTTGTATTTTGTGGTCAGTTTGGCGGCAAAACTTGCCTGCGACAGATTAAACGTGCTGAACTGCATTTTAATACTTTTAATTATGATTTGATAAATAAGTGTTTATATTAAATCAATATGGATCTGAGATTTATATTTTCTGTGGTTGTACTTTCTTTTGGTGAGTTTTCCTTGAATAATCCGTGTGACGTGCAGTTAATTGGACAATTATATTAATTTTCCTATTTACACTTATTGGAAACATTGATTGCTTCGTAGTCTAAAGTCTCGTATAATCCCCTATCTTAGGTTTCATCTAGTGTAATTTCGTTTACATTCATAATTGAAAGTACTCATTACATGTTAATTTATGAAAGAAAAGTGATCGAAAATTTGAGGATACTCCAGCGTGATAAATTTTAGTAAGATCCGATTGTCGTAGGTATGTCCATTTCAAAAAAGTAATAAAGTTTAGGCATTTATAAAAAAAAATAATAGAATTATCATGGGTTTCTATTACACGTAAGTGTCAAAACAGGGCCGATACACCAAAAGTACATGCTCCATAGTTATTACATATTCATTAACTAGGTACTATTCTTCTTAATTACGATCTTCTTCATCTCTTCTCTAGTTCCTAAACCTTGGGTTCGCTCACCTTACAATCTGTATTTATTCTATCTTTTTGCAATTTGCTTGACCGAAATCATAAAATTGTTAGTTGTAATTGTAATATTTTAAATTCAGAATTCTTATTGTTAACAACTGTACATTAATATTAAATTTCTGGTACAATTATTATAGTGATTTGAAGGCGGAAGATTTGCGTACGAATTAATAGTATATTTCCGCATGAGAACAAAAAGTAAACAAAATCATTGAAGACATTAAATAATATGAACGTTTACTAATTATATAAATTATTTAACGATTGTGCAAGTGAGACCATTTGGTAATTGTTGTCCCGCGGAGGTTATGCAACAGTTGGCGCGGTCAAAGTCACGATGGGTGATCTTTGACAGTAAGTTTTCGTAACTTTTTCACGTTAAATGTTTTGCATAGTGAAAACAGTTGTTAGTGTTGTGCATTCGTCTATTTAAACAACGCCATCTGCTTATATAGATAGAGACCCACCTATGTCTTTTTGGGAATACTTCTTCAACTGTTTGTTTTCAAAGAGAAACAATCTTAATCTTGGAATAAAATATTGATGAACATACTATACGACAATGCCGAGAAGAGCCGATTCATTTATATACCAAAGCTACACGCTAATTTTTTTCTCTATTTTAATTATCTATTTATATTAGTTTCAGTCGTCATTCGTTTTGCCATATACCTATATCATTTCTAAGGGCGTGGCAAAAATAACACCCTTAATATATACTCTAATATCCACTCTCACTGAATAAAAAATATTTTAAACTAGATTATTGAAAGTAGGGCTTGTTTATTGAAAAGTGGATGTATACAATATTTTGAATTATACAGAAATTATATCTAAGGAATATAACAACATATATTGTCGAAGTTAAAATACGGGTAAACCTGTTCGAAGTCGTTACTATGGTAACTAACACAACAATACACAAACTATACAGATGTTACATTAATTACAACTGTGAAAAATATGTTACAAGGGATATTACCATACAGCTATCTCTTTCAAGCAACATTTTGAAAAGAAAATAAAGTAAGATATATCATGAGAACGAGTAGATCGTGTTTGTATATTTAATATGTATATTATATATTGGTTACAATTCACTTAGTGTCAAAGTTACATTTTCCTCAACTTTTTGTTCATATTTTTTACCATTCAGTCGAATACTTCCTGCATGTACCTACCTACTTATAATATGTTATTTTTTTTACCATAATCACCTTGGTTTGTAACCTTAAAACTATCTCAAACGTAAATCCTTTGTCCGTACTTATGAGATAATAATGAGACGAACCTTGAAATTTACCGTAATTAAAAACAAATCACTAACGGTTTAAAACGCGAAATATAAATGTCAGTCTCCCCGTGCCCACGGCCGCTGCATAGCATTCGAAACGTCGGGCCGTTTAAATAATTTTAACTAATATGTTTCGGGTTTTAAATCGTAAAGTGTTTTATTTAAAAGTGTACTCGCGTAAACTACAGACATTGTTATTCGTAATCTTTATTTTTCAGGAAGCTGTTCCATCATCATACCCGAAGAGTTGCCATCACTACTTTCCGTAGCTTACTCAAATATTCCGCCTATCAAAAAAGGTAAACCACTCGATATACCATGGACCGCCTCTGTAGCTAAATAGTTCAACATGTTGCCTAATATTGCGTTACGCGCGAGAGGCTCTGGGTTCGAATACTAGGGAACCAAAAAAAAGTTATCACTCGATATATCATCATTATGCATGAACGGGATTCTCAAAATTATAGAGTTGAGCAGGGGCTTGCAAAAACAAAGATTGATATCTAAGATAATTATTCTACGCGTGACTCAGCTATACATAATATGTATCTTCTGTACACGGGAACAAATTCTAACTCTCTTACTCTTTCTTATACTGCTAAGAAACAAAAAAAAAATGACGAACTAAATAATTTTTAAAATTTTAAAGAGAATAAAGTACATTTTATTTTTTATTTTAAGAGTTCATAAGTGCCCTTATGAACTCTTAAAATAAAAAATAAAGCAGAGACTTAAATAGTAAGGTCAAACATTTTTGAATAAAAACTAGACCTAGAACCGGATCTATAAATTGAATTTACGATTTTGACGTAATATAGATATTAAAACGACACCGATTTTCATCATTAGGCGAACTAGTATGTAAATGTGAACGTCAAAGCATGACTTTCACTCATATTATCAGATAAGGCTTATTTATTTTTAAAGCTCTAATGGTAGCAATGTAAAATAAAGGCGGTTCGATTCCAACCGAGTTTAACATTCTCATTAATTTACAATTTTTCTGAAACACGTTGCACTTCGTCTTGAAATCCTGATATGAAGTGGGTGGTAAGAATATCCAGTTCCACCCGGGTCAAGAACTACCGTCCATAGACGGAAAAGCCGTGAAGTTTATTCGAGATTCAGTCTGTGGATTTCCTAATATCCAAAGCCAAAATAGGTCAATAGCGCATCTTGTGTAGATGTTATGTAACTGGCGTATTTCACCTTTTATCGAGTGAATCCAATGCTTGTCTTTCTTTAAATGTAGGTTTTATTGTCTGCTACAAAAGGTAATTAAAAAAAATTGGTCAGAGTTGTAATCAAATGACATACATTAATTACACTACAGAACCGCTAGATGGTGGTAATCACTAAAAATAATAGAAAAATATTTAAAGAAGTATGTACTAATATTTGCTTCTATTTTATTCCAGGAACCGACTCCCGTGTAGGTTTCGGATTCGCATTCGGGAATCATGCTGATTTTCAGGTTATGTTTGAATTGGGACCGCAGACCAATACATTGCCTCTTAGTAAGTACTAATAATAATGGACAAGAAATCTAATTTTAACATTACTCGGTTCATATTCTAAAAAAGAATGTATTGGTTATAGCTAACGACGAAAAGGTTAGTCAAATTACTAGACAACAACGCACGAAAATGAACTGTAGCTTCCGTTTCATCTGTCGACTGAAACATTTTATGTTTCCCCGGGATTCAAACCTAGAGATAGTGCTAACACCACTAGAGATAGTGCTAACACCTACTACCACCATGTATAAATCTTATTACAAAACCAGAATTATGGTAGCAAATAAATTTGAAATTTGACACTGGCAGGACTTGAATCCGTGATCACGTGAATATCGGTCAATGTAATCTTGTATGTATAATTATAATGATTTGAATAATAGTACTTTCGGATTTTTTTAAATCCGAAAGTACTATTATTAAATCCATCCAACTAATGCTATCTTATGAATTTTTCAGACGGGCAAGCGTTCCCTTCAAATTCTAAGCGTCAAGCTAACTACCCCACTCCTAAGGTTAATAAGAATAGGGAAAAGGTGAGTTATTCGATCTTTATTAAATATTTTTCGGTTCTGTACCGGAAAGGTAAAAATAGGCCAGAGACCGTCAGCCTATCAGTTGCCACGCTCTAGAACCGCTGGCTATACACAAAAATCACGTTGCGGATTGTGTATATCTGTTACTGGTATTACAACAAAATAAAATCGTAATATTAACACAGTAGCTGAGTAAGCGACTTCGTCGTAGAATAGTTATTTTGGGCATCAAGTTTGTTTATACAAACCTCCTATAAATTTAAGCTTTACCCGCTTCCCATCGTTCTTGCAAGTTAATATTAAAAGATAGACATCTAGTGTCGCGGACTTTATGAAAATCATTAAAAGAGGAATATCATTTAATGCTCACATTGGGTCATACAAAGAGAAGAAATTGTTAAAATAGTAGTTTACCACGCTACTTTAATAAATTATCTCCATTACTGTGTATCTAACTGTGAAAACATCTACGGCATTAACTGTGTTTAATATATTCATAATATTTTTTCAGTTCTTACAAACAGAGGCCGGCAAATACCTGCAAAACTGGGCCCAAAAGATGAAGAACCCGAAACCGAACAAGAAGCCAGTCAAGACAGAGATCCCCAACCTCGAAGACTCCATGGTGGAACTCGTGAAGAATGAGAAAGGACAATATGAAATACACCAGCCCCGACCGGACAATATGTCGAAGAATGTCGTGGAAACCCTGAAACAACTGTACGGAGACGAAACGACAACAGAAAAAGCAGTAAGCAAGGAGAAGAAAGAAGAGACGCGAAGCAAAGAAGAAATAAAGAAGATCACCGAAGATTTATCGAATGTTGATTTGGATTAAATGATAAAAATATTTCTGTTGTTTCATTGCTTTCTTGTGAATCATAATGATTAATAATAAATCAACAGGAACCCAGGACGGGTTCGATTCCCACCAAGCCCAACACATTTCCAATATTTTTTTTAAAGACTTTGTCTATATAATCTAAACATTAAAGCAATGTCGAATATCCTTCTGGTTTCCGTATCACAATCCACCGATGAGCCATGAAGTGCGCTCTTCCTCTTCCATTCGATTTGTTTTCCATAGTATTTAAGTTATTATTTTCGTAAACATAAACATCTTACACATACAATACCTCAATCCGTCTGTCCTAGACCATATAAGTTTTTAATTTTTTTAATGTGTTTTAAATGATTCATCATTTATTTAAGGCAAAGAATCAACACAGCTGAATTGCTATAATATTTTGAACAGACGCCTCATACATGTTTTAGGTAATACAGAACTATTTCTTTTGTCATAAATATTGGACTGTATTCACCTCAATTCATGTAACAACATTTAATTTGCGCGTACGATGATAATTTGGTGTCGGGATTAACGAGTTACGAGCGAACACAACAAATTCTCTTAATGATTGTAATTTATCACTAGCGTAAAATTTAAATGAGTGAAAGGTTATCCGTTGCAGTACGTTGAGTTTAATTTATTAGGAAAATGAATTGGGCAGTAATTTTGTAGATTACCGTGTACATATTGACAAAAATAGACCGTTAGTTACATCTGTTAATATTTTTTATTATATCATTATTTACACATTACCGACACTCGGATCATCATGATTCAATTAAATTAACAAACAATTGCTTAGTTGTAATGTGTATAAATATTTTTTTACTAATTTAGTCTGTCAATTTAAGTAAAAAAAAGTTTTCTTCATTAGGAATATCGAAAAACGTCCACAGATGAATAAGCCGTGAAGTTTAATCGCGTATCGGTTTCCGTCTGTGGATTTCCGAATATCCAAAGCAAAATATAGGTCGACAAGTGCATCTTGCTTCATCAGATGTTTATGCCTGGGGTATTTCACCTCTCATCATGCAAACCGCAGGTCTTAAATAAAACGGTTTAAAACACGATATATATTAGTTAAACTTATTTGAAATTATTTTTTAATTCATTTTCCAATGTAATATTTAGTTAACTTAGTAAAAAGTGAATGTGTACATTATTAATAAATGTCTAAAAAATCGATAAAACCATTTTTTCAAGGGGCCAAGAAGTTTCGCCAAAAACAAGCTCCGGCGGGAAAGAGGGGGCTCGCGCAGAGGGGTTTTTTTACTTTGAAGTCAGAGGACACCCCTTCATCTTTCGTCTCCTCGTGCTGCAGCATCCGTCGGGCCGTACTTAAAAATATTTTTCAAGTAAGTTTAATTAATATATATCGCGTTTTAAGCCGTTAAAGTGTTTTATTTAAATGTGTTTACTCGCGTAACTACAGGCAGTTTGTAAACCCCTTGTCTGTTGCTTGTCTGTTCTCTTCTATATTAAAAATACCTTAATAACTGTATGCTATATGTATTTCATGTAACCAAAGTGTGAATAGAGCGCCTACCGAAGGATACCGAGATGCAGACAAATACGGATTGGAAAAATTACCTCGAGTAGGTTGCACAAACTTTCAAGTCTTAAGGTATATATTTTTATAAGGGAAAAAGAGGAGTTATGGCGAGAAAAACTAAGCTTTTTTTAAGGGACCGAACTACTTTTTTTCCTGCTGGTTTGGCTCTCCAATTGAGCTTTTATCACGGGAATTGCATTGTGAAGTTTTAAATATATGTACATAGTTTTTACCCTCTTAAATAAAATACAATGGTTTATAACGCGAAACATTTTAGCAAACCTATTATAAATATAAACTTTGTACTACCCGTGAACTCTGTTGGTAGTTAAAACAAATTAAAGAATATATTTCGCGTTTTAAATCGTTGTAAGTGTTTTATTTAACGTGTAATGCTCGTAAACTGGAAACAATACTTTTACTTCTTACCGAAAAGTAAAAAACCGTTCTTCACCCCGCCAGTACGTTTTTATAATTCGCGCACGTTACCTAACTACGGCTTCAAATAAAGTAATTACTTATGAGCAAATTATGTTAAAATTAAACTTGCAACATGGTTACATTATCTGATATCGTGAAAGTATAATCCTAAGCTAAACAGTGTCTTGCCATACACCGGCGATGTTCTATCGCGCCACTGGCTTCTGATTTTCAGTAGTTGTTTTAAAAAAATGGAAAAATATATGCTAGTTCTGTTTGTGTGTCTGTCTTTAGGTGAGTTTTTTACAACTTTAGTTATTTAAGTAGTCAAAAGAGACGATATGATTCGTAAAATGGAGCCTTTTTGGTTATGGATAATCGTCGTTACGTAAATGTATGCAAACATCCAGATTTCCAGGCGAATTTCAAAAACTAATCGTCGACAGCGCATCTAGTGAATCTCATGCGTCTGTCTTCCTATATTATAAAAAATTTTCTGCAAAGCTTTTATTTAAATCAATTTTCTATTTACAACCGTAAGTGGCCACGTCCATGTAGCGTGCACAAAATGGTAAATAAATTGCTTTATTATACTCATACTTGGTCGAAATATCACTAAAATGTTTTTAAAAGGCTCACTTTTTCATTCATTAATAAGTTTAAAATTACCGATTGAGGGAAATCATTTTTTAAATGTATTTTCTATGACAAAGACCGCACAAGCACTAGGTTCAGATAAAAGGTAAAATGATAATTTATCATACCCGAACCGTGCAAATCTAGAAAAGATAGATTCGAAAATCCATAAAAAAATCGAAACGCAGATTTTCACTTTTTTTAATAATAGAAATACCCCAGCCGTATAATATATACACGAGACGCGCTGTCGAACTATTTCGGCTTTGGATATTCGGAAATCCACAGATTGAAACCGCAACGTGATTGAACTTCACGGCTCTTGCACCGTCCACAGGTAGTTCGTGAATTCGGAATATTATATGTATGTATATATCAACTACTTAAACATAAATACTGTCTGTAGTTTACGCGTGTAGTACATTTGAATAAAAGACATTAACTGTTTAAAACGCGATATGGTCGTGACCACGACTGCAAAGCTTCCGAAACGTCCTAGCCGTAGTTAGAATAATTTTGAAAAAAGTTTAACTAAAATACATTGCGTTTTAAACCGTTAAAGTTTATATTTTACAGGTTTACTTTTATTTACATTTTACAGGTTCGGCCACAATCATTATACCTCAGGAGTTTCCAAGTGTTTCAGATTTATTTCTCAAGTTTTTACCCATTATAAGGAAAGGTGAATTGAACAATTATTTTCCATCTTCTTTAGTTTAAAACACCATAAATTCTATGACTGTAATATGTCATACAACAAAAGGACTCAGTAAATGTGTTTAAAACACAAATTAACAAAACTAAACATGTACACGAACTAAATCATTATAATTTATAATCTATGACTTAAAATATTTTTCTTTTATTTAAAACTAAAGTTTCTTTGTTACATACCCTCAATCCAGTTAATTGTTTTTTTTTTTTATAATTTCACACCTGTTTTATAGGCACAGAACAATCGCGCATCGGCTTTGGTTTCGCGTATGGCAACCACGCCGATTTTCAAACCGTCTTACAATTTGGGCCGGACAGAGAGAACAGTAAGTTCGAGTGAACACAAAATTAAATCACACTAATACTCGCACATATAAAGCCGACGAGCATGTTTGTTTAAATGCGCTAATCTCAGGAACTACTGGCTAGAGCATTTATCGTCGAGCTTCTTTCTGGGCTTTAGTAACATTGCGCTGCTACTAATAGAAGCGAAGAAATAGGAAAAATTATCCATCCTTGTGTGTCTCCGTTGGTTACGCTGCGAAAACGGTTTAAAATAGAAAATATTTATAAAAATAATGATTTTTCTTTAAATCATCTAAAAAATGTCCCCCACCCTTTATGTCTATCTTTTAAGTTTAACTTGCAAAAACGACGGTACGCTACCAACGTCTTGGGTAACAGTTTAAAATAAAAATGAAGAGGAGGTCTGTTTGTTAAGAATAGGCCAGTAAAAAGACTTATTATAATTACATTTTCTATGTTTCAGACTGTCCAACTTGCAACACCAACAGAAGACGTCAGATCAACCAAAAAGCGCAAAAGAAGAAAAAAGCCGTTTCGAAAAATGTTGAGGAAAAGGGGCAAAAACTTAAAGCTATAAAAGAAGAGATAGAACAAAGAGAGAACTAATGGTAGTGGTTGTGTATTTTATTTATTTATGAAAGGGAATAGATTAAATAAAGTTTTTCTATAAAATTTATCCAAAGTTAATTTTAAGCAGCTAAAAATGTTCTTATCTATTTATCTTATATCTTAAAATCGAATAATTTAAACATTATCTAAACTTCATACTACTATAAATTTAAGTGTTAAAACACCCTTGTCTTTGAAATAAAACACTTTTACCAAAATAAACCACATAAAAAATGTTGGTTAAATTAAAATTATGTTGACTAATATATTTTGCGCCTTCAACCGTTACTACAGACGACACTACTACAAATCGTTTATATTTTATTAAACAAAATTATATTTTGTAGTTCTTACATTATGAACTCATTTATGTTACTTAGATGTTAAATTTTATGCAGTAGAAGTTTGTAGATTTCTATCGTAGAAAAAAGCCCATTTATTGATTTTATTAAACTATAAGGGTTGATCATTAAATATTAATTTTAGCTTAATAGTATTTTCTTCTGATTAAATATGTCTCACAACTAGAGCCGTATTTTAGCATGCGTGACCTTTAGAATAACCTTCGCGTTTCTTGTTTTCCATCCTTTCTTTTTTCTTTATTGAAAATTTCATAAAAGTCAGCATTTCTCCTAATTATGTAGGTGGAACCGCAGGCTCCACCCTCACCAAAAATTAACGTTAAAAAATCCCGACGGGCGTGGCATTTCCCGCCAAATTGCAGATGGTGTATCGCTTGAACGGTTTCAATATAATCTCTATTTTAATGAAATAAGGTTGAGGTTTCGTTGCAAGCAGGTCTGATACTTCGAAAATAATCCATACCGGTTGTAGTCAATTGCCGGTAATTAGGTACATTTTGTTTCTGAGTGGCATTTCGTCTTTTTTGACGTCGAGCTTCTTTCTGGGACAGTTATTTGATGTTACGTGGACTTAGGAATAGTGGAGGGGGTAATTTCACTTAAGTAAGTTAAGGCCTGACGAATGCTCGCAAAGGATTAAACAGTTAATATAGAGATAACCCGCTGTGCACCTATTTTAACTTTGGATATTCGGAAATCCAAATAACAAAAACGAAACGCGATTGACCTTCACGGCTTTTTCATTTGTGCAAGGTGGTTATTATATTTGGACGGAATTTTCGTATCCTACTATCCAATCTGTCCACCCTATCTGTGTCTGTTCAATCATTTTATTAACAACACCAAATTGATCAGATTTTCGTTCCCCAACCCCAACAAGGAGCTCTCTCGCTTAACAACAGGTCAAAAATTTCGCGTGAGTCACCACAGAGTATAGTCATACGTTGAGCAACAAAAACATTTAAAAGCGGTTGAAAATGGCTTATACTAAATATATGTTACTTAACATTCTGTTGCAAGACGCTAATTGTGCAAGGTTAGTTTTCGATTATGGTTAATTTAGAAATAATTCACTTAATCCTTACCTTGTATGTTAAGGTTGAAATTACTGCTCTAGGGGTATGTACCAATGGGTTGAAGAAATTCGACGATGACGTGTAGACCATGGCTCAATAATCTAAAAAAATATAAATACTAAAATAGCATTGATAATGTTTTGTGTATGTATTAGTTGTCTGTCGGTTTCAAACATTTTTTTATTGACCTAATAGGAAATGTTTAGATTATAATAAAAAAATATTATTATATATCCTAGCTACCTAAAACGCGTTGACGCCTAGATTTGAATACAGGAAATAACTACATGGCCCACACTAGGGAGAAAAGTTTTCACTGAGCATATAGGGGTTAATTGAGAGACATTGAAACGAAATTGCCACCTCCACTTTTTCTATGCTCAAGGGTCAGTTATGACGTGTTTAAGCGCGGCGAAATATTTCAGATAGTTTTTCGTATATGGCAAGAAAAAGTTTTTTGCTATGGCAATGTTAAATGCGTTTTTTGGCAGTGCACTGTTGTACGCGGGCGTGGAATGTCGTCCGCGGTGGCCGCATTAAGTATTATTATGATAATTATGGCTCATTTTAAAGATGGCAATTAAAATTATTGGGGTAGGGGTTGATAGGCGATCTTTCTGATGCGATATCTCCAAAGCGTATTAACTTATCTCCATTGAGGAGATTATTAAGCATTGCCATTCCGGAAATCAAATTTAATTAGCTTGATTGGTTTTTAAATGTTTGTGAAATGATTGAATGGAATGACAAAGGAGGCACGGGATGACACTGGAAGATTAAATACCCCAGGCAAATAACATCAAGATGCATCGTACAAGATGAGCTGATCTATTTCCACTTTCAGCATTCAGAAATCACGGACGGTATTTTGATATACCTAAAAAAAAGTGAAACCTCGTTTCCCCCTCGTGGGAGAAGAGATTTCTACATCATCTATTCTTTAACAGGCAAGTAGTTGACTTCTGTGCCCTGCCCAATCGAATCGAATCGCGCTTAAGGCAATGCTAGGCAATGCATTTAACCATTTAGCTACAGAGGCGGTCAATTATTATACCTACCATAGATCTAATAGCTAAATTTTCCGGCTTCTGTTTAGCTCATTGGGAAGCGAACCCAAAACACTTTAATTATAGTTAAACATTGATACTATGATACCAACAAGGCCAAAAGTTTTGTCTGTTTTAAAGCTGCTATTACTATAGATGACGCTAGTTAAGTTTCTAACATTTATTCCAACTACCCTCACTGACAAAAAAAAACTATGAATAATTTCTTATTATTTCTACTAAAATAGACAACAATTGTAGCTCGCTTTCTTATATCATCGTTGATGACAAACGTCCTAACCGGATTCCTGTTAAATGAAATAATTAACAGTACTAAAACCTGCTAAGGTACTTATTCGCGATTCCGTGAAAATGTTTCGGCTGGAAAACATGGCGGTAAAACTTGATCAACAACTTAAAAGAGATGCAGAAATAACAGCCATCCAACCAATTGGTGGAAATATTGATATGCTTCACTTAACATTTACATCGCAAGATTAAAACCGTTAAAAATAAATTTACATTAAAAAAAGTAACGCCATACGCAGCGTTACGTGATCCTCTAAACCAATTGAGCTACCGTTAGGGTTGTAATTTTTTTCCGATATTAATAGATTTTTAATTTATACAATGTCATCATGAGCAACATATAAAAATATTAAAGCTTTTCCAATGTCCAAACTAGTTATTAGGAATTTACATGCACAGGGCACTACCAATAATTTTACAAGATCGACATGGAACGCTGACGATGCCGGTTCAAGTCCTGCCCGAGTCGGAAATTTTCTCAACTTATTTTCGATTTTTGTATTAAGATCGACATAATTTAAACATATTTTTCTTTATATTATTTTTATTTTTTATTATTTTTTTATTATTTTTATTATTTATTATTATTATTTTTCTCATTTTTTATATGACATATTTGTAAGATGTGGGTTTGTACCTGATTAAAGAATTATTATTATTATTATTATTATTATTATATAAGTTTGCGCCTTATTATAAGTTAAGCAATTTTTTTAATAATCAAAGGTCGTAAACACACTCCTGACGTCATGTTAAGAGCACGTTCATCATCTTTTCGATAATATTAATAAAAGTAATTGAGTTTTTGAATTTGAATGAAAAATCGTATTGAGACATACGAAGTAAGGTTAGGTTAAGGTTTTATTAATTTGCTGACAGAAGAGAACAGATAAGCAAGCAGTTAACTTAATAAAACTGTCAACCTGCTTTCGCGTTAAACGTTTAGAAATTCACCGACCTTTTTCATCTGAGGACGATGATTCATGACTTCAGAAGAATTATAAATTAATTTAAAACATTGTACCCGTTGGGGATCGAAGTTACGACCCGTTGATTTTTAGCCATACTCTGCTAGCATTGAACCCAAGAGCCTGTCAAAAACCGGATCCAGGATCAAAGATTGACCTTCAAAGGATCTTTTAAAACCTTTTTGGGATTCATAAAATATAATTTTAATTTTATGATATTATTTACAAATATTTGGTGATCTACAAGAGTAAACTTGCAGTTCATATTATAATAAATTACACAACAAAACAAATACCAACCGGGCTTCGACATTTTTTGCTGCTCGGTAACCTTCCATCTGCCCCAGAGTCATCAATAATATATACTATTCCCTTCTTTACACTGTACGATACGTCGTCGCGAAAACGTCGTATGGGAAAAATCTATTATAAGTGTAGCAATAAAATGTACGTTTTAGAATTGTTCAATGGAACGAAATCGTTTTTTAGTTCTTAATTTTGACAGTTGAGTCGCGCCCATTTTACTTAATACGTTGATTAGCTCAAATATTTGATTCAAATACCACCACTGCGCATAATCCTTTATGTTTAAAAATCAAAAATGTTTCTATAAAATTATTACACGACCAAAAATTTTGGAGTTAATAATATATATAATTAAGTTATGATGTGAACTAGAAACTGAGAATTTTTTCTCTTCCCACATTCCCCGTTTTTTAGCCTAGTAATAATGTAAAAAGTAAATCTACAAAATTAAATGCATTACGTAGTATAAACTATAATACTAAATTGATTTTTTAATTCCCGAAAATATAGTCGATGATAAGCAATAGTATTTGATCGTCCTTTGTTTAAAACCACACGATACGATATATCCGTCGTGCGCGTAGTCGTAGAGTGTGAACAAGCTGTGTATTTTAATGTCAAAATCGCTTAAACGCAGCGAGTGACTTATGAGGCACAGTGGCGGAATGTTTTAAAAACTTTTGTTATCTTTATCTAAAGGGTACGTTTTGGTGAATCATGGTTCGGAAAGTTCTATATAAATTTTGACTTTTGAGTACCCTTATCTATTTTAACTGTCGGCATGATGCCACAAGTCAAGCGGGAAACTATAAATTACGGTGTCCTAATTGTTCGTTTAGTCCTACTTATAATATAAATGCGAAAGTCAGTATTTCTGTATTCTTTATATTCGAACATCCTAACGGCTAGATCGACTTTGATAAAATCGTT